AGCTTCGTTACAGAAAACGATGCGACTAGATATCGACGAAAGATCGTTACGGTACTCACGGAGTCTGAAAACATTCTATCGTTGCGTTTGTTAACGCGCTACTCCCGCGGACGTGCAGTCGTGGACACTCTAGACTAGCGTCCGTTTTAGGTAAAAGGTAGAACAAAGCCTCGCAATCAGAGTCGAAAATCGAAGCGTGATTTGTACGGAAATAAATTCAGTTTCGTGTGGATTATTCGCGGTACCGTAAAGTAAAGTTATCTTTATAATCTGATGATTAGTTGTATCGTCTAACTAAAGGATCCTCCCGTAAATAAATAAATGTTTTTCAGACTACAAGAGGGAAGCAACGACGGCCTCGTTTCAAACGAAGGAAAGTAATGGCGAGCGATATTAGCTTCGGAAGAGAACAGATCGGTCTATTTACTCCGCTCGCGAGTTATTGCGCGCGATCAGTATCTCGATGTATCATGAACCGATTGAAGAACGGATCCCCGTATAAGGAGGAAGTAGGCGATCCGTAACGAGATCGTAGACGAGTCTCGAGGTTTGCGGTCGAACGAACGGGCTAACTTGTAGCGTTACTATGACACTGACTTTCATATCGATTACGTAACAATTATTTCACGATTCCGAGCAAACTAGTTTCCTGTTCTAGAAACGAAAACAACCCGTCCTCGAACGAGAAATTCAAGACGTTCGATAACATCGCTCGTAGTCACGTTTCATTCCGCTCTCTTTGCGAACAACGAGCATCGTGTATCTCTAGCATCGTCGACTTGAAAAACTCCACCACGTTCTCCGTACTACTCATCTTCACCAATTCCTTTTCTCTTTTCCTCCGTCTTTGAATGATACAGGAATATCGGTTACATTTATTCATACGATCACTATCGTTACTAATGTGTATTCCACACTACAACATTCCATTAGAGTCATTACATATTCGCGCTACAATAACCGGAGTTCATAAGACTGGTAAGAATCTGGTTATATCGTTAGGATAATAAATGGATGAAACTGTCTAATACCTTCAAAGACTAGCGGAATGGATACAACTTTGAATATTACATACATAAAGCTGCTGAAATAAATCAAATGTGTAAATCAAAAACGGGGAAATATGGGTATACATCGAAAAATTCCAGGAGGAATTGGGAGGATAGCTAAAAGAGACGAAGAGGATAAAGAAAGAGATGATTATTATTATTATTAAAACATTTATAGAACGATGGGAGTAATGAGTAATAGGATTGGTACGAGCGGAAAGTTCGACCCAATACAAATTTACGAAGCAATGGAAAATAAGAAAGAACCTTATACACATGATTTAACAAGAAAAGTTCTATAGTTTTAGGAAACTATTTGACATAGAAAGTGGTTGAAATTGTACAAGTCCTTTAGTTAAAAGTCTGTCAAGATTCATCGCGCCGCAATTCCAGCCCGTCGTTACGTCCGGATCAGAGTTCATTTCCGACGATTTTCTAACCAGTTTTCACTGCTCGCTCGAAACACCATCGACAAGATCTCCCGCGAGATTTTCCTTATCGCGGAAAGGGAAAATCCCATTATCAGAAACGCTAGGAGTGTGGGGCAAACAGAAGAAAGCCGAAGGAGGAAACAGCAGCGTTAGGTCGACGCAATATTCCGAGCTACTTGGACGGAAATAATGTGGAAACGGCAAATATTATTTTAACCGTCGATTTATAGAGTGGGCCCGTCACTCTGACGAGAACCAAGCATTGTTGCTGCCCCGGCTATTTTACGTTCGCACGTTCTCGCACCCGTTTCCTCTCCAAACCCGCTAATTATAAACGCACGCGATTCGACTACATCCGAGAATGTTTAAATCTGTTAAAATTTATCGACGTTCGAAACGTCGATCAATCGTCTCTGTCAAGATATTCACCGGTTATGAAACAACATAACAATCACACAGACGAAGAAAGGAGGAATTTTATTGTTCAAAAGTTCATGGCACGAGTTGTGTAATCTAAAAACAGGGGAGAAACGAAAATCTACATACAGCACGTGCAATTTCCGATATATTGGAATAAGTCATTTTGATAACACTTCGATGTAAACAAATCGTGTGTATACATATCTTCGAAAGAAAATATTTTCATATGAGCTTTTTTCATAACTGCCACAAGATCAGTTCCTGTGTCTTAATGCGTAAAAACACTTGTTGATAGCAACTGTTCGGCGGACACCAGGGATTAGGAAAAGTAAATTGCGCTACGAGAGTGAGACCACCTAATATACATATGTATACAGTTTTGTACTCATTCAAAGTGGGGAAAAACCTAAAACGTAACTTTTAAGGTAGTCTTTGTGTAAAAGGGAGGTTTGTAAAGACAATATGCTTAATTTACTTGGGCAGAAACGTAAGCTTGTAGAAATCGGAGCATCTCTTTTTCTTTTTCGTAGATGGTGTTCAGCTTGGAAATATTGTAATATAAATGTTTGTTTAAAACAAATCAGAACGATGTTTCACGCTGTTTCGTAGATTTCTGTGAAACAACCCGGCAAATCTTGCTTCGTCTTTATTCGCCTTAGCACGATCCACTGCGTCGATTTGGTCGCGAAATTGCGTCCTCGCAACAAAGGGCTCCTTCAAGGGGCGGCGAGTCTCCTTCTCGAGATGTTTTCGTTTCCGTCGCGGGACGCCCCGTTGCCCCGTTATTTTCGGCGGTTTTCTCCTCGAGCCGGTTTTATTTCCAGATGCATCGGCGTGCACTTTGCCGCACGCTAAAATTGCACTCGCGCTTAACCGTCCAACTACTATAGCAGTCGGCGAAATTTTCATACTTTCATCAATCTTTTCTAGCGTACAAAGTGTTCGTCCATGAATGTCCAAGCAAATATCTCGTAAATGGTTCAAGATACAAAAGAGTTCGATAAGAGAAATTTACACGACTTTAAGTCGACCGTAAGATGCGCGTAAATTATTTTTTTTATTCGTAATTTCTTTAAATGGTTAAACATAATTTTTTTCATATTTAATTAATAGATGTCATTTTCAGTAAAGATGATATATCTTGTTAGAGATTGTACGAAACTATTATGCGATCCTTTCGTATTGCAAGTCGATCGTATTCGAGTTCGATCGGGGTCATCTGTCGACATTTATACAGATTACGGAATAGTTATATCAGAAACGTTATCAGAAGATGATTTATACTTGACGAAATGTAACATACAATTATGTTCAATGGAAAACGTTAAGTCATTTCAGTCAATAAGTTGGAATTATTTCGAAACAAAAGCAGATAAGTCCACGATAAGGTGTTATCTACGAAAAAACGGAGCGTTACCTCGATATCGTCATCAACGTGTATTATATTTTACGGCCAAGTCATTTTCGGAGGAAGACAATTTAAACTTTCCTCGTCTTAGCTTTCCCTTCGTTGCACTCTCATCATTTGCACGAATCGTTGACTTTCATCCTTTGAAGCAGGGATTTGCAATGGGAGCCATATGCTCTCCTCAGATGGTCCACACCGTATTTTTGTGTGATAAATATGAATCAGGAATAGAACAAGTTCCACAAATAACTGTGTACGTGCAATGGTTTTGACTGAAATAATTTACGAAAAACCGAAACGATGTTTAGATTAAGAATCGATAATTATTCATTATACCTGAGAACCTTTCACAATATTTTGCCAAAAAATATTTAGTACTTTTATCGAATTGTTTTTGGGAGAAAAGAACCAGAAACTTATCTCATTGTTTCACACGCGATGGATATTTCTTTTCGCAAATTGAAATTGAAAAACGTGTCCGCAGGAGCGAAAAACAAGAAAGTTTTAATAATTCTATAGACCTTTTCGTCGTATTTCATTAAGCTTTAGAAACATGGTTTCAGGATTAGAATTTCGCACGCGACGCAGAAAGTGTATCGAAAGTTCCGGCGAAGTCTGGCCACAGGAATAAAGTTGGCTTACGTTAGAGGGTATTGCTGCTGCCTCTGCAGTTCATCGGAGCTTGGTACAATAAACACGAGCCGGTGTCTTCTTCCAGAACTTGCTAACTGCGTGTATTGAATTTATTATTGGCATATTATATATACTTTCCTTCGGTAAAATTTCATTGTTAGGAATCCTCCGCTCGTTAAATTCGCCACGAGCGAAAACATTCAGCAGCGTCCACGACGTAACAAAAATCGATCGTATCGTACTTAATAATTCGTAATACGTTTATCCAAATCGTTGATTTTTCTTCGATAAACACAGCAAGTATGTCCCAACATCCATGGACAACGACGTTACGTAATGCGGACAGGTATTTCGACGCGTTAAAAAATTCAAACGTGGTACACGCGCGCGTTCCTCTCTTGGATACTGTATCGAGAATGCCTCTCAGAAATTCTCTCGTCATTGTTCACGCCCTAAAGGGGATCGTAGCTAGGTCAACACGGAATAATGTATCGAAACCTAGCAGCTCCGTGTCTCGTCCTTCTGTTCCCCGAATCGCAGCGAATTTCGTAATTTTCGTTCCGAAAGATATCGAATTGCTCGGGAACGATTGCTTCGATTCTTATGAAATCTACGCTCGTTGATTGATTGCCAAAAGCTTGAAATGTAAGAGTAAAAGTTGGAAAGAACCGATTGCTACTATTAAGAAGCATTAAGAGTTATAAAACGCGACGCGACGCAGAGGAAAAGGGAGAAATCGACCGTACCACCTATTCTTCTCACTGTTTAGGGTTTTAACGGTTCGTCTACATAGTAGTAGGATTTACATATGGATAGGATATTACTAGATTAATGAAATGTAATGTTTACTAAAATTAGGGATATTTTTAATACACATGAGATCCGGACAGGAAAACGAACGAACGAATCCCCGCTTCTCATGGTCGAAGGATCGTTCGTTGTGACGTTGTTTCTGTAATTTTCGAGAGCTCGTTGACTCTCGAGAACCTGTCTGTCAGCCTCTTGAAACATGCGCGAACCTCGAACTCTCAGCGAGAACATTTATTTTATTTGTTGCAGACACGAGTATGTTTCTGGTTAACGGAATTGTGATGTTGGGGTTCGTCGTGGCCACCGTGCCGGACGCGATGGTACACGGATCTTCCGGACCGATGCTGGTTATGGATCAGGACATCCCTTCGAGGACTTGTCGGTACAGCAGGGTACGCTCGATGATTCAAGTCCGCTGCGTTAATTTGGGTTTAGAAGAAATCCCTTCGACTTTGAAGTCGGATATTCAGGTAAAACACAGTAAAATACATCGTTAGGTGAGACTTAACCTGTCGAGGTCACCTAGAAACTACTCCATCATACACCATTAGGCTGTTCCGTCTCTCCTCCATTCGTAAAAGTTTTCGCGATCTATAATCTCGATCTAAATTGCTAAAAGTTTGAAATATTCTATATTACAAGGATATATCAGTGATCTATTTCGCGATACTAGAAACGTGACGGAACAATAAAATTAATCGTTTCTGAAACCGATTCTCTGTTAGACTCGGGGAGACTTATAGCGGCTATACTATTAAAACCCCGAAACAGAATCGTACAGTCAACTTTTTCACACGATTAATTTGAGAGTTTTCCTATAGATTCTCGATGCGTCGGTGAACAGAGTGCGGGAGTTAACAAACAACAGCTTGGCTCCGTACAAGAACCTCGCGTATCTCGATCTCAGCGACAATTTTCTACAGAACATTCAACAGGGAGCATTCGATAATCTACGATACTTGGAAGTGTTGGATCTGTCGAAGAGCGGCTGCGACGATCTACCGAGCAGCCTATTCCAGTTGCCCTATCTGCGTAAGGTGTTCCTGTACCATAACAAGCTGACCGACAATCTGTTCAGACACACGGATGTCAAGTCACCGTTGAATTTTCTGCAATTGTCCAAGAACAGACTTTGCAGGATTCCCCAGATGGGCCCTCTGCCCACGCTGGAGCATCTGAACGTATCCGAAAATTTCATCGGCTCGGTAACGCCCGAGGATCTGGCTCCGTTCTGCATTCTGAAAGTCTTAGACCTGTCCAAGAACCCGATCAAGTTCAACGCGACAAATTGCGAATGCCAAACGTTGAACTCGTGGCTAACGGCTCGCGAGATTCAGGTGTATCCTGTGTTCAACTGCACGGAAGAGCTGCAACGAGGATGCTCCTTGAAATCGGAGTTCAGAAATAAAACCGTGGAGCGGTACGAACGGTGCCTGGACGTATTGCAGCTGCGGATCGAGACCGAAAAGGCAAGGAGCACGTGGATTCTAGTTGCTTGCTGCATCTCCGCGTTCCTCGTCTGTTTGTTCCTTGGTCTGTTCTGCGTGCACAAGAGAAACAAGCGGAGGAAAAAGAAGTTGAAAGAGGAGCAAAGACTAAACGCCAACAACGCCAACACCGAGCTGCTCAACAGCAATTTGAACCAGCTTGAAAATACCTGAACGCGGACAGGCACCTTTGCGACATCAGGCATATGGTAGGCATTGTTTTATTTATTTTAGAATAACTCTTTTGCCGCCACATACAGGGTGTTCGGCCAACCCTGGAACAAATCATTCTGGAAAAATTATTTTTTATATACTCTTAAGCGATGATTCTCTTTTTAGGTGTGAAGCTGATTGAACTTGGAGTAAACTTACAGAAGACCGTACCAATTTCTTCTCCTCTGTACAGTATGGTGAGAGAAAGAAGGAAAGAGAAGCAGTGTTAAATAAAATTGCGTTTGCAGACTCAAATACACATGTATCCAACGAAGATATTTAAGCGATCTGGGATTACGATTATGGCCTAGCTTTATCCGCGATTACGCGAATATTCAATCGAAAACCGAGATTTATCGGCCTTTACCGATGTCGTGTACGCAGGTTCTTTGATGTTCAACATTGATTTTAACCGCGCTGTCATCCACGATCGTGCTATTTTATAAAGTCATAAATCGAACATCGACTCGAAGCGTACCATTTAACGCAGATTGTCCACTAGAAACGAGCCGTCTTAATATCTTTAATATTTTTATTTTAAAACAGCCGTCGTTGCTATACGTGTTCCACTTAAAGCTATACAACTTTGGTGAGCAATATTTCTTTCTCTTATTTAAAATAATGAACAAAATAAAGTTGGTTCGTTTCTAACAAGACATCTTGTGTAATGCATTTCGGAATGTTTGTAACATTTCCTTTTTCGTATCCATGCGTCTAATACAACATTCTAATGGAACACAAAAATACTACATATATATCTCCATATGCAGAATTAAAATTTTGTGTTACACGCGTTGGATAAAGTGGGATTCAAGAACTATAAATGACCACGATTCGATCGAATTTTGTTTCTCGCAACCGAAGCAACACCACGTATCTATTTATATTCCTTTTTACATTAAACGAAACCACTTTGTAAAATATACATATATGTACACTTATACATATACATGCATATACATGTATGTATGTATTAATTATTATCGTATTTATTTTTATTTGATAAGAGAACGTTCAATGTTATTTCTTTGTTCATTTTTGCATATAATTCTTCATGCAACAAGATTTTTCTATTTAACTATGAGTATGTGAGAATCATTTTATTTGAAAGAGCAAATTGTAATGTAACGTTTATGATTTCATGCGAAGTATGCCAACTGCCATCAGTTCGTTTGCAATACGATTTGAAATTCTATGAAATTTTGTCGAGTATGCGCCATACGAGGCAATCAAATCTGGAACAAAAATGGACGAATTAGCGCGACGGAAGGTAAGAAACGTCAAGTGTCGGAAAATCGAAATACTAGTTCCTAATATTTGTAATATCTTTATCGATTACTACCAAGCTTCGCTAACTGTTCCTGTTTGGAAATCAGTTTTGCAAGAAGCGGTAATCATGGCGTGTACTTAAACTAAACGTGTACTTAAAAACCGGGCCAATTTTTTTTCTTTAAATTAAGGTTGACTCTACTGAAACTGAAAAATATCTATTTGAAACAGCACTGTTCAGATGCAGGTAAACTCCACTATCAATTATCGATTTCAAACACCGATGAAAACATGAGAATCAACGTAGATCGTTTTAATATTTTTAATTCGGCTGGATTCAACGACGAACATAATTAATTGTATATTATAATGTACATGTAAACATTCCAAATATCATTTTTCAATCCAAAGTACTTGCGACAAATGTTGCTCTTTAAGAGCTAAGAACAAAAAGTTCAAACTTTAAGTTAAAGATAGCAAATTCTCGATGAACATTGCCCATTTGTACGATCCATGATCTATCGACCGATAGAAAACTCTTCGTATGCGCGCACGATGTGTACTTAAATCTATGTTCCAATACAGTTGTAATTCGATCGTCTTTCTTACTGTTAATTTTTAATACTTTACATCGGATGTAACTGTATACGTTGCACAAAAATATTACCAAGTGTTTGATGAATTTCATAAAATAAACCTTCGATCCAATCGTCCTTTCTTTGATTAAAAATATTAAACAATATTATCAAAAGGAAACAGAGAAACTGACGAGAATGATTGGAAAGTGAATATACGAGTGAAGCGAAACGATGAAAATTATATGCATCATTAATCGTTCGTAGAATGTTTGTTATTTACATCGGGCTCATACACGTGTTTTTCAACTGTAGTTTAACGATTTTGTATTTATTATTTACTGCAAATATATTTATTTAAACTTATTGTAACTTGTAAGTTAAATTTGTAATTGAACTCGTTAATTTAAGAAAATTAATTAATAATAATTGCTGAATAGCATGAATATTTATTATGTATATATGTATGGACAAGATGTACAATGATGACAAAACGAATGCTTGTAGAAGCGTAACTTAAAAATAAACAAAAATTATTATAAACAAGAAAATAAGAAAAACTTGATATTACAATAAAATTATAATTTCTAGAATTAGCTACGTCTAGGGAAAAACCATCAGTACTAACTGTCCCTTACCCCTTCCATGTACGCGTACTCGATTTTGCACGCGAAAGTATTTAAAGGGACAACTAAAACTTTTCAAAATATCTAATCTATATATGATACGTCGCACAAAATACTAGCAAATAATGTTCTATCGATATCTCCCTGAAATAAAAAAATTCAAATGTATTATCAATTGAAAAAATATATTATTTCTTATTAACCATAATTCATTGTGTTTTGACAATCAATTTTGGTACATGGACTCTGTGAGTGAGAAGTACATAATTAATAGAAACAGTTATTGGTCAGATTTTTCTAAATGTTTATTAATATACTTTTTCAATGTAATTACGAGTCATGCTTTGGGCCACAACACTGGAACAATAATGATAATGAATTTGCTATGTTATATGCAAACAGTAATATACAAATAATAACAATCAATTTTGTATAAGTGATCTTTTACAGTATTGTAACGAATAGTGTAATTTTTCCATGTGTAACCATTTTTAATAGTTTTCATATATTGTATGTTGACTGACTAATGTATTTTCCACGTTCAAATATATTAAATGTATATGTCATTTAATTAAAAACGTTTAAGGTGTAACTTAATAAATAGAGGATAACCTTTATATTAACAAGTTATTTTAATTTCTAAATGTTATTATCAGAATCTCGCATCGCGCGTAAATTAGAATTGAACTGTTAGGTGATTCGAAAGGTTAACTGGTAGAGATGCCAGACGAAGCCCCGGGTGCACCGGGGACACCTCATTCCACTTTCTCACCTATGCCAGATCACGCGTACGTGAGCTCATAGAGTTTCGTTGAGTCGACAAAGGCAAACTGACGCATGCCCTCTTTCTCGATTCTCCGAAACTGCCCGAAGTAATTTCGGACCGTCTCGTGGGAATCGAGAGAGGAAGGCTCACATTTGCCTTCTCGCTCTTGAACAACTGAAATCCGACCTTATGTCAACGGCATACGATTTGGAATCTCGACTGCCCGGGCATTTTTACTTTCCGACCCTAACATAAGCAAAGCATAGACGAGGTATACGAGTAGATCTTACACCTTATGGACTTTCGTGGCCCAATCTGACTGCCATACCGACCTGAAAATAAAGCAATTTTAGCGCCCTCTTCTCATGGATGGTGGTCAGTTGAGAAACTATTCACTGAAGGGATTAAAATTCATTTTTGAATCTGTTGGTAATGTTGCGAATGACACGAAAATGGTAATGGGGCTCTAGAGCCCCAGAAAATACATTGGGAGAAAGGTCTACTCGTATACCTCGTCTGTGATATAACTATATTTCTTCTTTTTTCCCTTAGATCTTCTCAGAGTACCAGGGGTCGCCACCGGGTCGTCGAGGGCGTCTCCTTCGTCTAGCGTTTCTGGCGTTTCTACACGTCACTCTTATTGTTCGAGAAAAAAGGACTCTCTAGTGAATAACATTTAGACGTAAACAAATGAACGTAAACATTACGAATTCTCATTTATTCGCTCATTCATTCATTACTGTTGCAAGATTTGTTAGTTTATTGTGTGAAATTGTCTAAGGTACGTTATAACAATGAATCGGTAATAGAGAAAAAACAAATATGTTAAAAATATTTCAAGAGTGCCATGCATAAAGACACTAGATGAAGTATTAAGGAGGGAACTTTAGAAATAGGAATGGTAATGGGAATTTCTTAGCAACGAATGCTTTAACGCACGGTATGAGGAGTGAGGCGAGTTTCATTGTACTTCGTATTTCGTACTACCTTCTTTAATTCCGCCCAGTCAAGGGTTTAGGGATTCCCGTGCGACATCGCTACTCGCAACAAAAATCGTACAGTGCGTATCGATGGATATTTTAACTAAGTTTAATAATAAAATAAATATTTTGACAAAAATTGAATTATCAATTTATAACTTAACATATTTTCATACTTGTACAAAAAATAAACAAACAGAAATTTAAGTACAAAATCCTCATAGCACATCAATCGCAATCAATAATGAAGTTCGCGCACCTCTAAGTTCCCTAGTTCATATACCCTAGTATTAACGACAAATGCGCTACCTTGAGCGGTGAAATTTGTAACTCTTTCGTAATATAACCATTTTGAAACTATAGTATTATGACATCAGATTATTTCGTGCTCGTTTCGCACGTTGATACAGCAGAGTCGTGGTCTGATCGTAACAAATGGCTGTGTTTTTCAGGTTAAAATTATATGAATTTCCTTAACGATAGTGAAACAAGTATAATAATTGATGGGATTAAAAAATGTCACAACAAACTGCTCTTGCACAGACTACCAATGCAGGATCGGATATGACACCTGTACTTGGTAGTATACAATCCATTGGACCTAATACTCAGGCATCATCTACTGTATCCAATATACAAAGTGGCAATACAGTAGTACAGGTTTTGCAACCTCAGACTCAATCTCAACAAACGCAATTTGTAACGCAACCACCAAAACAGCAAGTGTCTCAACAATCATCCACGCAACAACAACAACAACAACAACAAAGTTCCTTCAATGATTTCCCACAGGTACATGTTTCATTGCATTTAAAGATAACCATGTACTAAGTGAATTGGTGAATTTGTTCTCTTTCTAGTTCTTAACAAAAACACGATTACAAGATCTTGTCAAAGAGGTAGACCCTACTGAACAATTAGATGAAGAGGTTGAAGAAATGCTTTTACAATTAGCAGATGATTTTGTAGAAACAACTGTAAATGCAGCATGCTTGTTGGCTAAGCATCGTCATGCTAACACTGTCGAAGTAAAGGATGTCCAATTACATTTAGGTAAGTTATGTAAATTAATTAAATCAATGAATTATTGTTCGTTTTGTATCTAATGTTTCTGAGGTATCCTTTACAATATAATTAATAATTTAAATATATAACATAAATATTTAAATAATGTTTAACAGGGTGATTGAATAAAAACTCTGACTATATAAATTATTTATTTTTAGAAAGGAATTGGAATATGTGGATTCCTGGTTTTGGTACAGACGAGGTGCGCCCATATAAACGAGCAACAGTCACAGAGGCACACAAACAAAGATTGGCACTTATACGAAAATCAATCAAAAAATATTAGTCTTCCTACATATTTTACCTTCTATACCTGTTATTTTATCTATAAGTGACAATTTTTTTTACATTTACATGACAGTACATTTATTATAATATGCGTCACTGATATTTGTAAACAAATGGAAATTATTAATCATACATGGTTTTTGCAATGTATAGCTGTAACTATGAAGTGACTTAAAAATTTAATAATAATTAAAGTACTATTCTTAAAGGAAATTGGCAATTACTTAAGTGTGATACAAATAAGGAATAGATAAATTGAATATTATAAGGATATATGTATTACAGTATTATTCTTCCTTAATCAGATGGTAAATGGAATAGCTTTTGACATGTAAATTTTGTGATACTCTAAGTGTATATAAAAAGAAAGATTTTATTTTTTTAAATTCAAATACCATTATTTTATTTAATTTTGTTAATAACACTATTATAAAGTATAAATGAATTTTATTAATATATGTGATACTTTGCATTAGCAATTTAAGGATTTTAAGCTGCTTACATTATGAATCATTGCATTGATTTATCAACAATTTCATATGTATAAAGTGAAAAAGAAAAAATAATTGTAATTTGAATAATGAAAGTATAAAAATAAGTATAAAAATAAAAAAGAATTTAGTAACTTCGATATAAAAATGATTTTTCATGATTTCGAGAATATAGAAAGTTTTATAAGTGTGTTTAATTTTCTTATCTTCTTTCTTGGTCTGAATTACATGACAATTCGAAATTTAGATTTTATGTCATGACTCTTGCTTTTGAAACAATAGATAAAATACACTTTTAACACTGTGACTTCCATTCTTTTGTTTTTAATTTTTTCATAAACAATGTATGCATTGACTAAACTCCTTTACAGAGTTTTGAAGTATTACAAATTATTATGGTTACTGGTTCGAAAGAGAATATTGGTCAATATGTTACGATAAATTCAATTTTGATTTAAATTGACACTAGATCCAACTCACTAGTAGATCTAGTAACTCTTTGACTTAGCAATGACTGTAACATAAGAAACTGGAACCTGGTTGTTCGTTGGGCTGAATTCATCAACTGACATTACATACTACATACCATAGTCTAGTATATAAATCGTGATAACCTTTTTCTTTCAGGGACGTCTTGTGAGTTTTACCATCTGCTTACTGGAACATTGTACAGGCGGTATTATTCATTTTCTTATATCTTTATTATAAAGAACATTGTTAGCAATTCACGAGACATCATTTGTGTACTAATAATATCTAAAAAGTAAGCAGTTCTTTTTTTATCAAATATCAGTTCTATCGGGAATCTAGTGATTGTGAAGTATCATTTGAACGTGCATATCTTTATCTTATTAGTTGAATAAAAAACATATATTATTTTTTTAAACAGCCTTCATGCGTTTATATTGTACTTTGTCGGTCTAAATAAAGTACTTTTCTGGTAATTGATTAAAGTTTATTCGTAAGTTGTATTTGACCATTGTAGCTAAAATTATATTTATAAGGGATAAATATATATCGAAATTGAAATGTCAATTCTGTTGCAGATTGTTCAGTGTTATAGAAGATAGTACAATTTGTTTTGTTGAAAACAGAAATTTTGCTAAGAATTGAATAATATTGATACGAAATAATAATTTATAACATTCTGCAAATTGTGCAGTAACAAATAATATATAATTTCATAAAGAAAAATGTCTGTTAGTAATGATAATACGAATAACAACACGTGTGTTGTGTGTTACAAAAATGTTGATATTTATAGTATTGGTATGTGCGAACACCCTGTGTGTTATGAATGTAGCACACGAATGAGGGTGCTCTGCTGTCAAAATGAGTGCCCCATTTGTCGTCAAGATTTACCAAAAGTTGTATTTACAAAGGAGATTAAACCTTTTCGTTATCTACATAAAGGCAACTTATTGGACACACGATACCATATTTATTTTAATACAACTGATATTCAAAATAAATTTTATGATTTATTGGCTAACAGCTGCAATATTTGTAAAGAGAAACCTATGTTTAATAATTTTAACAGTTTGAAAGATCATATGAGACATCAACATGAGCTGCATTACTGTGATCTCTGTGTTGAAAATTTAAAGGTAAATTAACGTTATTTTACATTAATAGAATTAGTTTAGTTTTATCGAGGAATTTGTTTAAATATAATGTATTTTTATAAATTCCTGAATTTAAAGACAGTGTTTATTTTTGTTACCATAGATATTTTCTCATGAAAGACGTTATTATACAAGGCCTGATCTTGCACAGCATAGAAGGAAGGGTGATATTGACGACAAAAGTCATAAAGGACATCCATTATGTGAATTTTGTGATCAGCGTTACATGGATAATGACGAATTATTTCGGCACTTACGACGCGATCATTTGTATTGCCATTTTTGCGATGCAGATGGTTTACATCAGTATTACAGCTCTTATGATTATCTCAGAGATCATTTCAGACAAGAACATTTTTTGTGCGAAGAAGGAATGTGTTCTGAGGAGAAATTTACAAGCGTCTTTAGGACTGATATAGATCTTAAAGCACATAAGGCGAGTGTTCATAGTAAACAATTGAGCAAGGCTGCCGCAAAACAAGCAAGAACATTAGAGTTAGAATTTACTCTAGCTCCACGTGGTGATAATCGAATGAATAGGAGAGGAATGTTAGGTGCCTCATCTTCCAGGAGTTCAAGAGATTATGGCAGTAGAGATTATAATCTCAGGGAATACCAACATACAATAACGCCAAACACTTCAAATATATTTGTATCAAATAACGCACCTACTTTTGTACGTCAGCCATCTGTAGATGTACAGAGTACCGAGGAATTTCCAACACTGGGTAACACTGCACCTATTGTACCTAACTTAACCCAAAGTAAAAGTAGAGGAAATGTAACAATTCGTAGTACTATAAGACCACAGCCTCTTGCTGTTACGGATGAAAATTTCCCTGCATTGGGATTAGAAACAGCAAGCACAAGTATTTCTAAAACTGTTAATTTCAGTGTATCCAGTGGTAATGCTTCAGGATCAAGTATGCAACCACAAAAGAGTACAACTTCCAATGTATCTATTCAAGTAAATCATGAACCAAATGGAACTGTCACTACAAAAGTTTCAGGTCCTAATATTAGAATTCGTCCAACACAACGTTCAATGGAATCTGACTTCCCTGCATTAGGTGTTGTAGAACCGTCGACTAGCAATTCAAATTCAGCTCATTGGAAGGAAGTTTTACAATGGACCTGTTCCAAGTCAGCATCAGTGTCTGTACCAAAGCCTAAAAAGGTTGCATCACCGTCGTTAGTATCTTCCTCAGTACCTCAATCTGGGGAAGATTTTCCTACATTATCAAAGACATCCAAATCGAAGAAGCAATCAGTAATCACGGTAGTACCTTCTTGGGTTCAACCACAAAGTTCTAATAACAGTAACAATGTGAAATCAACTACTGATATAACAAAAGGGAAAACAAAAAAGAAAAAAGTTAAACAAAATTGTAATAACAATAGTACCAACGGCAATGACACTAACAGTTCAAGAATGAATATAAGTACTGTTGTTGTAAGGAAAGATTGTGAAACGTCTAAAATATCGAAAAGTTCATGTGATATGCATAGCATGGACAGTGTACAGTCAAGTTCTCAGTTTATGCAGAATACGGATAACGTGAGTAATAGTGAAAATACATCGAAAAATATAAATGTGCAACATTCAAAGGAGATGGAGCAAATTAATAAAAAGGATAAGAAAAAACATAAAAATTTGGATAACGAAACAAATGTAAATACAGTTACAGCTAATAATACTTCTAATGGAGTACAGAGGAAACGTACCGAATTAAAGATAGATAGCTTAAATTCTACTAACAGAAATGTTCGTCATTTAGAAGAATTCCCAGCTTTAAGTAGCAGCAGTTCCAAGCCACCTGGTTTTACAAACCCCCCGCCTGGTTTTGGGACAACAACTCCTCCACCTCCCGGTTTTTGTATAAAATACAATAGTGAAGATAAACTTAACAGCAGTAATGGATTAACTTTCACAAACAGTTCTGGAGAGAATTATTCTATTTTGCCAGATAATAGTAAGCACAATAGTGCGTACAATTATGTACCTCCCCCGGACTTTCAAAAACGGAACAAATGCCTTGTGGCCAAAGTCAATGAAGTTTTGGTACAACAAGACCAGATCGAGGAATTTCGATACATAAGCGGATTGTTTCGCCAAGGGACATGTAACGCGCAAGAATATTACATGCATTGCCGTGACGTTATGGGTCTTAGCGCATTTGAAATTGTATTTCCAGAGCTTCTAGTTTTACTGCCTGATATTGTAAAGCAGCAAGAATTATTTAAAGTTCACAAAAAGGAAAGTGGCAATAGGATTAAAGGTTTAGAAATTTGTGCGACCTGCAGTCAAGTTTTGAAGAATGGTCCTGATTTAAGAGCACATACGACTAGTCATACATTGGAAAATCATTTTCCAGCACTTGGGAAAACCAATGCACCGCTTCAAAAGAATTCTTGGGTGCGTAAATGAGTATAAATGTGTTCCTTTAGTTAACTTACATATTTTGCCAAGTCTCTGTAAGATATGAATAAAGGAACTATGCTGAATAAATTATTTTTGTGGATGACGTCATTGTAAGATAATCGCAATTAACTTGAGGTTAAAACATATGGTACATATTCCAACTATCAATCCTACAATTAGTATTAAAAGTTAGTTTGAACAAATTAATTGTAATATTATAATTCATATTTGTTCAATAACTTTGTGTGATTACTGCCTAAAATGAAAAAGATTTGTTATCAAACGGTTGTACTAATAATTTTATGAAATACAAATGTAGTAAAGAAAGTCAATAAGTCGCTGTATAAAAATAAAGTTTGTGTAAATTAATTTAAATGATCTAACACTTGTGACATATTATGAATAAGATATTCGTAAGTAAATCTTTTACTAAAATGTTTTAATCAGTGCCCTGTTTCGCCATACGTTAAAATTACTCTGTACATATTAATTATAAGTAGAGAACGCATTGCTATAATTTTTTCATTGTGTTTTACGGAATAAAAATGGAACAGAATTTGATGGTGAAGAAGAATAACACCACGTATTAACAAATTATTTGATACATTATGCATTATACAGTGCATCTATATACTGTTTTGTACTATAATAAAGTTATTACATTGAGTTACATAATAAGACTATAAAACTATAATTGTTTTTCCATTTCCTGCTTTTGTAATTAAATCTTAATTTCATTAAAAAAGAAGAAAGCAATGGTGGAACATGAATACAAAGTAAATTTGTAATTTATTTTATATCTTTATTTTTAAATTCTTTTCACTTATAAGTATATGATACTTTACAATAAGAATAATTATCTTTATGAATAAACAGGGATTTATAAATTTTAATATTATGTAATGATTGTTAAGGATAAAAAGTTTTTTAAATGCTTATTTTTAAGACTTACTATTAATATTACTCACTCTATAATTCGTTACTTAATCTTTATTTAAAAAACAGGAAAGTAAAAATGGTATGTCAAATTATGTTATGTATAATATTTAATTTTTAACTTGTTACATAGACGCAGAGCAAAGGATGCACAAGTATAAAATTTCACTTGTACTTTCTCCTTTTTTATAGCAGAAATTGTTAGTAATATATTAAGTAAATAATATTCACAGTACTTTTCTTTTAAAATGAAAACAATATATGTACTGAAATCAACATAGAAATATTCCTTGTTTATTTCAAACTCAATACACTTTCAAGTAAACTTATAACTCTACAAATTAAAGTCATAAATAGTAACTGATAAATTTACACGCTTTTAATTTATAAATTTCTCCTTTACTGAAGGGAAACTTCATTCAAAAAATGAAATCTATATAAGCTTTATGGATTATCGAGACAGTCAAGTTTCTCTATTACGCCAAGTAGTTTTCTTCTTAGAAATTAGAATCACAGTGGTATTAAATCGTACACATAGTGCATAATCTGATAAAACGGAGATTGCAACCTGTCTTCTACGTCCATGCTCGTTGAATAAATTGTTCATGAAGATTATGAATAATGACAGTGCTTTACTACTTTTTAGCTAATTCGTTACTCAACCAATCGAGTCCTTCATAGAGTCCGTGCCCTTGCGTAGCACAAGTGCTTTGAACATACCATTGGCATCCACTTAACGAATTTAGTTTCAATTTATTTGTGAGTTCTGCGGGGGACATGGCATTTGGCAAATCTTGCTTATTAGCAAATACCAAGAGAACTGCGTCTCGAAGTTCATCTTCCTTCAACATGTTCGCTAACTCACGTTCAGCCTCTCTAATACGTTCACGATCGTTGCAGTCAACAACATAAATCAGGCCTTGTGTGTTTTGGAAATAGTGTCTCCAGAGCGGTCTGATTTTATCCTGGCCACCAACATCCCACACAGTGAAACATATATTCCTATATTCAACAGTTTCAACATTGAAACCAATGGTTGGTATTGTTGTCACAATTTCACCAAGTTTCAATTTATACAGTATGGTAGTTTTTCCAGCAGCGTCTAGTCCCACCATTAATATTCTCATTTGCTTTTTACCAAAGAGCCGGTTTACTAAGCTGCTAATTGTTAGGCCCATTTTGTTTGGGAAGACACCACACGCCCGAAGCGTTCAAAATAATACTCTTCTATCGATACAGACTTTAGCGTAGCCACACGTCAGTACGTTTTGCAAGTGGACGATTTAATGTTTCGCATGCGAAACAAATATTTTTGAATTTTAATTATTCGTCGACGTTTCCAACAATGTCGTTAATACACCTTACGGACAATAATAGCAAACGTCACCTCACGGTGCCTTATTATTCCGGAAATAGTTGGCAAAATTGGCCACGCATGCCAACTCTTACTTAAAAGAACCGATCGAAATATTACTTCAGAATTTAGTCTAAACAGTGTTTTCGAGAATATACAGATTTTGTAAGTACAAACGGATACAATTGAGAAAGTAACGTACAATAATTTCGTGATTGAAAGTCATGAAAGACATGACGTAAACCAAGCATCGCAATCCTATCATCTGTCATGTAACCGAACTCCGTATAGATTTTAGGCACGTAATTTAAATGCAAGCTTTCGTAATGGATTTATATTTACAAATTTAAAGAAGATTGCCATTTCTGATATTTGGATGTCAATTTACAAATGTTGATATTAAAAAAAGGTAAAAATGTTCTATATTATCATTGTTGGAAGAATTTGAGAATCTGAAACCCGATTAATTATTATTAAATTATTATTTCTAAATATGTACGAATTTGCAGAAAGAAATATGTTTAGGTGACAGTTTAAAAATTCAGATACAGGGCTCTTCAATTTCGAGCTACAACCTTTTTTCTCTAATATATAGCACTTTTTAATACAATAATTTCTTTTCCTTTTTCGAAAAGCAAGTTTAAAATTCGAAAGAAATGTGAATTTTGTACTGCCAACTTAAGATAATGATTATTACGTCATTTCCGAAAAAGGTAACTAAAACGGCCAATGATTAAAATTACGTAGATGTTTCCAGTAAATGTTACTATAAAAATGTTTTTCTTCAGCGCCACCTGACGCATTTCCAACGAAATTAGAACCTTCTTCTGTTCTTGGTGTCTACTTCAAATGAATTTATTTTCGTCTCGATCTTTAATAACTTACAGAGTTATTGTTAGATGGATATGTAAAACTATTGTTGCGTGTATTATTTCGAAGAATAAACAATTTTTCGAAATCAAGAAATTTGAATTTCTTCGTTCTTCTTAAGAAAATTAAGAAGAAAAATGTTTGAGAAATTCTTTTCGATGTTGAAGCAATACAGTGGATGTTAAAAATTGTGACCATCACAATTACATATTTTGGTTTCTTCAGTAAAAATATTGATTATAGGCATGGACTTCGAAGGATAAAACTTTTATAGTGTGAAAATAGTAATCGGAGCCATAAGCGTAATGGTTCATCATACAATGCGCCGTAGGATCGTCAATTCAATACAGCTATGTTGTGCAATAAATTGCACAATAATCCCACACACATTTTACAACTGCTATTAAAACAGTTATATCAACGATAGTGGTACATATAATTTATTGTATGAAAGTCGATACGTTTACGGTCTCTATAACGTAACATCTTGGTGTCGTAGTATTTATTCTTTGCGTGTTACATAACCTATTTTTAATGGATTTTAAACGCACTTAATCGCGCAGTTTAAGATACACAACTTTGGAAAAAATCACAATTCATCGATATGATAAAGCAAATGTTTTAAAAAATATAATCTCACATTCTTTTTTAACTCCCATCAATCACTTGGAACATTTTCCGTGAAAAGATATTAGGGTACAATGTTTAATACGTTAAGATTTCGTGAGATATCTCTGATTGTTGATAAGTCTTACGTTTCGTAAAAAATATTCTATATACAAGGTGGGTCGTAATTTATGATACAAATTCTGATAGACTCTATGGCTCGAAATAAAACGAAAATCAAGAATAACAAAATTGCATGGGAGAACGTTACAGAATTGTATAAGACTGATTCTGCACGTGTATAATATACCTAATTGTTAAGAAATCAGTGTATTATTATAACCCAGTCAATTGTTCAGTCGAAAAATTTACCTATTAGGTTAAGATACATGTACTGAAAATTATATGACTATGGTTCTGCAAAAGGTTAATATTTCATCAATAAGGACCCCACGAGGTCTATATCTCAATCTGTGGTAACACGAAGTACTATCATTAAATGATAGATTTATTGCATACCTCGTCTGTGATAAGGGTGCGCTAGACTAACCAAGCGAGTGATTCATCGATAACGATAGACTAATCGAGCATTCCTTCATCACTTGATTAAAAAACCGACTGCGGTACTACATATTGTATACGTTTCTCTTGATACCATGTAACTTATATTTGAAACATTTTTTTTCAAAATTTGTTGCTACCTACATATATCGGTACACAGTTGCTAAATTAATTTGCAAAGTTCTTTTTCTCTATACTTCGGTAGTTCTAGAGTGGTATAGGTCAGAGGCGATCTTATTTACGTCAGAGGAACCACTTTTTCAGCGAAAATCCGGTACGAAGTAATTTTAATAGGGAGACAATGTATGAAGTAAAAAAGTAACGAGCAAAGTAAATAAGAAAAAAAGTGTTTTGCATCGCGTTTCACAATTTGAAGGTATATATATATATATATATTTTTTTTTTATCGCCGATGATAATGATGCTTTTTATTATGGTAAATACCTTGCATGGATGATGCGCTTTTTCTTTTAGGTACATTGTATCCGATATGCTTAAATAGCCTACGGCACGAATCAGTTCCCCTTGCCAGTGTGCGATAAGATATTTCCTCAGTAAGTTCTCTTCTCGCGAGTCGAGTGTGCAAAGTGGCTACGCGAAGTTCGAGGCATTTGGGAGACTTTTAATTCGAATTTGTTGCAATTTCGAAAGATCGAGGTGCTCGATAAGGCGAGTAGTTTGTTAGTTAGAAATCTAGTCGAAAAGTACAATCCTGGATAAAAATAATATAAACTTTGATTGTGTTTATCACTAGATTTACGGAAGTCGTCAATTTGATGTTTGATTTCATATTTAAAATTGCAGAACGCGTAAATATTATTTTTTAACAACTTATGTTGAATTTGATTGAATGCATATTCTAATTAAAAAAAAAATCGTATTGTAAGGTAATTCTTATCAAGAAAGGTGTTAATGAATATAGGTGCGATCAATGCCCGTAAATCTAGTGTTATATACCAAATTCATCGATGAAAATTCACAATATTCAAAATTCATTTCCAGAGTATTCAAAGTAACTGTAATTTTGTATTTACAGGATATTTGATCTATCGATTTCGTGTATGTCGATGGTAAACGCGTTGCAAAGTGTTAAAGACACCTGTCGAATCAGCGTTAGAGTTTTGCAAAAATGATCATCGAAATATTTTGCCTTATATTTTTGGTACTTATTGTATATTACATGTTCGCGTATAATGAAAAGTATCAAACCAGGATGATAAACTTGATACCGGGGCCTCCAGTGAAGTTTTTTTTTTTGAACATGCAGGAGTTCCAACTTTCGCCATGTAAGTTCGAAGAGTAATATTTTTTCTAAATCGAGGATTTACAGTTTTACATTTAATCACTTATAATCGTCTTCGTTTTATCTTTCTGAAAATATAATGCCAGAGTTGAGAAGTGCGCTCTTCGAATTTATAGAAATAAGATCGAGCTTTCAAGAAGAAACGGTACAAGATTATTATTTTTTTTAATCGATCAAAAAAGAAATATTTATTTTTCCTTGAATTTGAAATATAGTTATATGTTGGTCTTAAGTTTGAAAAGAGTAATTAAATAAGAATATTCTAAAGATGCGTAAGAGTGTAATTTATTTATATCGAAATATGTGATATATACGTTTATGTATAGTGTGTCAGGCCATAACTCTGTTGTCAATTAAAGAAAAATAATAAGAAGAAACGGTACAAAATTATTATTTTTTTTAATCGATCGAAAAAGAAATATTTATTTTTCCTTGAATTTGAAATATAGTTATATGTTGGTCTTAAGTTTGAAAAGAGTAATTAAATAAGAATATTCTAAAAATACGTAAGATAGAGTGTAATTTATCGAAATATGTAGTATATACGTTTATGTATAGTGTGTCAGGCCATAACTCCGTTGTCAATTAAAGAAAAATAACAAAATAAGAAAATGAATGGTACACAGTTATTTTAATGGAAATACAAATTTTTCTTTGCATTACGTCTTTTGCATTAACATGACTATGAACGTTTCGAGGCTGTGTTTTTGTAAACGCGTCCAAACGAACCAAGAATAAGTCGAAGGCGTTTATAAACAACCGTATGGCGCGTTTTATGGGAACAAAAACAGTTGGCGATTAAGTTCGTTTAAAAGAATTATTCATAAACATAGAAAAATTATCACATTATATTTATAGAAATTTACTGACTCGTTAGATCATTCTGGTTAAATTAAAAATTTAATTTAGAAATATTAAAACCGTGACTATCGTTCGAAAGTGTGTTAAAAGGAAAAAAAACGGAAGCATAATCGAATGCAGTTTATCAATTAGCAATGATATAGATAATAAATTAACGACAACTCAATGTACACCAATCGTTACAGCTGAACTTTGGAAACGTATGCGAGAATTGGGCAACGAATATTACCCGATTTATAAATTTTGGATGTTCATGACGGCATACATCAATATTCGCCATCCTGACGACACGGAGGTGATGAAAGAGTTGTTTAAATCTGTATAAACCAGCAATTCTGAATTCTGACACGTGTCGCGCGATTACATTCGATTTCGAAATTTTTTGCATTCAGACGATACTTGGGAATCCAAAATTCATCCAGAAAAGCGATATGTACGATCCTCTGATGCCTTGGTTCGGGACTGGACTTCTTACCAGTTCAGGTATCGTTTCTCTCTATTTCTTATTTTATTTCTACAGGGTGTCACGTTAATATATTGCAATGATTTGACGTTGTTACTGTCGAGGAAAGGAGAGTAGGTTTATCTTATTTTTCTGCTGAATTATTAATAGCGGACGAGAACAATAGATTAATGTAATAAAAATAAAGATACGCGCCGATATACAGAGTGTGAATGATTAGAGGAAATGTTCGTTAAATAATGGCCAGATAAAGGTAGTTGCTTTGGTTTTTTGTTCAGGTCGTAAATGGCACTCACGTAGGAAGATATTGACGCCCTCCTTTCATTTTAACATGCTGCAACAGTTCGTCGACATTTTTGTCGAGGAATCGGTGCGTTTGAAGAACTCTTTGACGAGCGAGGGGGGACCAGTCGTTAAAGATTTGATGTACTTCTACAGCGAGCACACTCTGAACATCATTTGCGGTAAATTGTAAAACAAGTTAACACGCGTTAGCTCGTCATCTTGGAAATTCGCGATGAAGATGATTTACGATCATCTGTAATTCTTACAAAAGCAGCTGTGTTCTTTGGATACGAAAGGCTGCGTTTATTGTTAAATAGTTTCCTCTTTAAAGATCTTTGTCAAGACGACTTTTGCTGTAATTTTCATTTTCTTTGTTCAGAGAACGGAATTTTTCTATTTGAGACATTCAGATTTTCTGATACACGAAAGAAGATTGAAACTTTTCGAAACTGTTGCGGGCTTTGTAAGTTGCAACGCGTAACAATTTTCTTCTGCATGCGTGGATACATTTTTAGAGACCGCTATGGGAACTTCGCTGAAGGATAAAGGGAAGTTTCAAGCCAAGTATCGAAAAGCTGTGTACGACATGGGTAAAATTATAGTATATAGGCAAGTAATTTGTGGTATACGGCGTTGAAAACAATATGCATCCTGGGAAAAATTTTAATGGGGAATTCTAGAGGCCAAAATAAGACGAAAATCAAGAATACCAATTTGTTGATGGAGGCTTCGTTAAAAAGTTATTAACAATTAAATTCAAATATTTCAAATAGTTTTGGAAAAATTATTTTCGGTTGCGGGGGCCAATTACAATCATTTTTGGTTAATAGACATACCCCCGAAATTCTACGCACTTCCAAGAAAAAAATTCCAACAGGTAGGCTTTTTCGGCGAAAATTAAAATATATCCAATCATTCTGGAAAAATTATTTTCGGTTGCGGGGGTCAATTACAATCATTTTTGGTGAATAGACATACCCTCGAAATCTTGCGCATTTTGAAGAAAAAAATTCGAGAAGGTGTGAAATTTTTCGACGGAAAAAAAAGTTTCAAATCGTTCTAAAAAAATTATTTTCGGTTGCGGGTGTCAATTACAACAATTTTTGATGAATAGACATACCCCCGAAATCTTGTGCATTTTGAAGAAAAAAATTCAGTACGGGCAGAACTTTAAACGTTAATAACTTTTTAACGAAGCCTCCATCAACAAATTGGTATTCTTGATTTTCGTCTTATTTTGGCCTCTACTATCGCTCATTAAAATTTTTGCTAGAGGTGGCCGAACACCCTTTATATACACAAACAATATATTTCTATTGATTTTGTAGATTAAGTAGACCGTGGCTCCATGCAAACTCTGTTTTCAAATACTTGCCCCAAGGATGGCGTCAAACTAAATTACTCAAAATATTGCATGGATTCTCTAAAGAGGTATGACCAATAATTTGTGACTGAAACAAAGCAAACTTTACGTTTAAAATCGTGAATAACGATCGATTAAGATTCTTGTAAAATCATTGAAAATCATCGTCCAATTCAATACCGATTAAAGTGAAGTTAACGATACGTTGCAGATCATCGAAGAAAGAAAGGACTATCATAATAAGACAAAGGGCCAATACTTAACCGGACTTAACCACGACTCAAGTCAAACGGATAGCGCCAATGATGGCGGAAGTAAGTGATCTTAGATTCGAATTAAAATACTGGGCAACAACAATTTATTGTTCCTTGTTTCACGAGATGTTTCCGCTTGTTCACAGTACGGAAAAGAAGGCTTGCCATGCTAGATCTTTTGATAGCAACTTATCATAATTCTGAAATAGACGACGAAGGGATTAGGGAAGAAGTTGATACTTTTATGTTTAGAGTACGTGTTTTCGTTTACTTTTTGGTCATTCGACGGACTTATTCAATTCTCTATAATCGTTTTTTATTTCAGGGACACGATACTACGGCGGTGTGCCTCTGCTTCACTACTATGCTTCTAGCTGAACACAAAGACATACAGGTGACACTTTTACTAATATTTTAATCTGCACAGATAACGAATAATCTCTGTTTTCTTGACAGTATTATTAGAAGGTGGATAAATAATGGGTTTTACGACTCGAGTAAAATTTTCTTCATAAATAAATGAAAAAAAATTCGATAGTTATATACAGGGTGTTCGAGAGGGTGTCTTAGACTTATTTGTAATTTCGTCTTGTTGCAGGCTCGAGCCAGGGCTGAAGCGAGCGCAGTTATGTCAGAAGCTAATGGTAAAGTAACCATGGCCACTTTACAAAATCTGCCATATCTCGAGAGATGCATCAAGGAATCTCTTCGACTTTACCCGAGCGTACCATTTATATCGCGACGCCTAGAAACGGACACGAAATTGAGTAACTATCAAACGTTGTAAGGTGAATCCTACGTTCGAAGGTAAATTATTTTTTATGTATCGCGATAATCGATTTAACGTTTCTAGGTAATTACGAGGTACCGGCTAACACGGTGGTCCACGTACACCTAATAGACATTCATAGGGATCCAAACTACTGGCCAAACCCGGAAGTTTACGATCCGGATAGATTCTTGCCTGAAAATATGAAAGGACGTCATCCTTACGCCTATGTACCTTTCAGTGCTGGTGCACGAAATTGTATAGGTAAAAAAAAAAAAATAAGTAATTCCTTCGTGGAAGGAAATATCTTCGTGCGACAATGAATTTTTCGAAAATGAAATTCTTGCGAAAGGGTTAATTTATAGTGCAAAAAATCTGTACAATATTTCGCGATGATCTCTAGTTTTAGTTCTTGCTGAATTTTTCGTTTTCGATTTATAGGGCAACGATTTGCTATGCTGGAATTGAAATCGACGTTATTGTTTCTGTTACATAATTTCTATTTCGAGCCCGTTGATTGCTTGAAGGATATTTCTATCGACTCTGACATGGTTCTGCGTCCCACGTATCCACTCCGAGCGAAATTCATTCCTATCGAAACTTCGAGTTGAGAAATGAACGTCGGTAATGAAACATGGATCTCGAAAAAAGTAAGCACGCTGGTACCAATAACGATAAAAGAGTCGATCTACATTAAATATTATTTTAAATTTCAGATACTGCGTTGCAAACATGTTCGTCGCACGTAGAACTTACGACACTTCGGAGTACAAAGTAAATCTGAGATGATATTAATGCACTGTTTCGTTACGTCATCTTTTTTCGATAACTAAATGTTAAGGAGTATTCTAAGCAAACTTTGTAAAATATTTAATTCAATTTTATGAGTGTAAATACACACTTGTGCTAACGATTAAAAAATTGTATTTTACAACAAGAACAGTTACAATTTAGACGATGATTATTCAATACAGAAATCGGGTGACAGGTTTCGCTGTATTATATCTGTCTTAAATTATTTTCCTACGACGGTCCTTATAATGCATTGGCGCCTCCATAAGTAGTAATATTTAATACATAACATTAGAATAACATCGATTCATTAAATTGCTACATTACTTTACTTTTAACCCCTTAACGCTCACGCTCAGGGGTGTTCGACCACCCCTGGGAAAAATTTTAATGGGGAACTTTAGAGGCCAAAATAAGACGAACATCAAGAATACCAATTTGTTGATGGAGGCTTTGTTAAAAAGTTATTAACGTTTAAAGTTCCGCCCGTACTCAATTTTTTCCTAGAAAACGCGCAGTATTTCGGGGGTATGTCTATTCACCAAAAATGATTGTAATTGACCCCCGCAACCGAAAATAATTTTTCCAAAACGATTTGAAATTTTTTTTTCCGTCGAAAAATTTCACACATTCTCGAATTTTTTTCTTCAAAATGGGCAAGATTTCGAGGGTATGTTTATTCACCAAAAATGATTGTAATTGGCCCCCGCAACCGAAAATAATTTTTCCAAAACGATTTGAAATTTTTTTTCCGTCGAAAAATTTCACACATTCTCGTATTTTTTTCTTCAAAATGCGCAAGATTTCGAGGGTATGTCTATTCACCAAAAATGATTGTAATTGACCCCCGCAACCGAAAATAATTTTTCCAAAACGATTTGAAATTTTTTTTTCCGTCGAAAAATTTCACACCTTCTCGAATTTTTTTCTCGAAAATGCGCAGGATTTCGAGGGTATGTCTATTCACCAAAAATGATTGTAATTGACCCCCACAACCAAAAATATTTTTTTCAAAACGATTTGAAATTTTTTTTTTGGCCGAAAAATTTCACACCTTCTCGAATTTTTTTCCAGAAAGTGGTTAAGATTTCGAGGGTATGTCTATTCACCAAAAATGATTGTAATTGGCCCCCGCAATCGAAAATAATTTTTCCAGAACGATTTGAAATTTTTGAATTTGTGCATTTTTGGACGGTAAATGGAAATAAAATGTGAGCGTTATGGGGTTAATTGGACTTATCAGACGATGTTGATATTTGAGAGATCGATGAGTTTAATTTAATGCGTATTACTGTCATGTCCCAATAACGTAAAATAGTACGATCTTACTTTACGAAACTTTTATTAAGTATATCTTATCTGTGTCTATGTATGTTGAACATGCGTAATATTTGTAACATTGGTGTTACAACGTGCTATTAACCCTTTTGCTATATTCGCGATATTGATTGATCTTGAATGATGGCAATTGCTGTTGAGAATCTAATAAATGTGTTAGCCCCAATGGTTCGCACGACAATGTCATTGACAATGTCACGCAATTGCATAATCGATAAAGAATCTTTAAAAAATGTTTTATCACAGTGTTATCGAGCATTAAAAACTACAAGATTTTGTATTAAAAATTGTTGAAATATCGTTTGTGGTTTCAATTCATACGCGTTGATACGTCCAGAAGTGTATTTAACAAATATTTTTCTACTATAACGTACCCTAAATTAGAGAACGAAATTTTTCATTCGAAAAGAGTTAATGGACCCCGTTTTGGGAGATATTTGATCGTCGGTGGAATGATAATCGAAGGTGATAAATAAAGAATATGTTTATATTTGGATGTACATCTTTGGTTATATCAGAGTGGGAATATTTGACTCGAATATGTAATCTGTGTCGAGTATTTATTTATGATAACAGTACGGAATACGAAACAGCCACAGCAAGATCTCTATTTCCAAGTCAAATCTGCAAATTGATTACGCTAAATTGCATGTGGAAGATTTTAACTTTGTGCAACAGGTGAGTGGTTTGTAACACAATCTTTCCCGCGCGTTCTCGGAAATTTTGCTCCCCTGACATTTTTAGCAAGCAAATAATGGTTACAGCTATCAACATGTGAGAAAGAATAAGTTACATTTCAATCTTCTGCTTTATTGTCTATTGAAAAGCTGAATAAGTGTTAAGTTGAACAGTAGAGTAATGTACACCTTACTTCAAAACAAAGTCTCGCATATTTAATAAGATGCATGATCGGCGAAAGGTATTCACGTAATTGTAGTAAGGACATGTGAACGTCAGCGAACGTAGGTATGTAATTAGCAGCATATAGTCGTTTGAAGGCTGAAACTCTAATGATCAATTAGATTCACTTAGTTGGTGGTTGTATATTGCCATGGCATGTTCAAATTCGACTTATCGAGACCGTGAGATAACTTGCGAGGTATTTGTTTTTGAAACTGCGTCTCCGTATTTTTACGCGTAACGTAATTTTTAGCTCCATGGTTTATCGTAATCAAATATTCTTTTTGCAGCACATCTGATTTATTGTCGTCGATTATATAAACAGTAAATCCATATAAAGCGTATTATCCGAGGAAGTCATAAAAGACACTTGTCGAAAGTCGAGCAGAGCGAAAGTTTAGCAATAATGATTATTTGGATATTGTTTTTTATAATCGTGGGGTTTCTTATTCTACAATATGGAAAGTTCGGAAGATCGAATAATTTGGTCCCTGCTCCTGAGTCTGTACCGATATTTGGAAACTTCATACGGCTACAAGTTCCGTCACGTAAGATCAAAAACCGATGTGATTCCTTATAAATCGAAGATGCAGACATTTAATCAGTTTCAATGATCTTTGTTTCGTGGTTTGGCTTCTATGGAAGAAGAAGAAACCTGTAACTCTTCGCGTTTAAATCCGAGAAGAGACAGGAATTAAAAGAATGATCGAATGTCGTTCATCGATTAATAACGATAAAGATAATGAATCGATAAAAACTTGATATAATTCTGTTGTTGCAGCCGAAATTTGGAAGAAACTACGACAATACGCCGATCAAGAATATCCAATCTACAGACTTTGGACTCTCACGACTTCAACTCTTAATATTCGTCATCCGGACGACTTAGAGGCAATTAAAACAATTATTTATATACATACTATATCGATAATTATCGCGTATGCATAGGTCTTTGTAAAAAAGAAAGACTATAGACGAAAAAACATTTATGATTAATTCAAAAGCACCGCGCCTTTATCGTTGCATAATATTACATTTGTTTGCAGACAATCCTTGGAAATCCGAAATTTACTCTGAAAGGCAATTTATACAAACTATTTCATAATTGGCTCGGAACCGGACTTCTTACCAGTTCAGGTACTATTTCTCTTTGTTTTTTTTTTTTAAACATTATTTCTAAACGCTTGGACCTACCAGTTACAAGTTGTTTCTCGCTTTGGTTTCTTTAAGGGCCCAAATGGCAAGAACGGAGGAAGATATTGACACACGCCTTTCATTTCAATGTATTGAAAGAATTCGCTGACATTTTCATCGAGGAATCGAAGTCTTTGACGGAATCATTAAAGAGCGAAGGACCAGTCGTTAAAGATCTGTTGCAATTTTTCAGCGAGCACACACTGAATATAATATGCGGTAAATTTCTATGTGATAAAAATTCCTTGCCTTTAAATTAATCTTTGCAACCTATATTTCATTGTTTATTATTAGAATGTTTCAACAAATTTCAGATGACAGGGTTCAAGTGGCGGATGACTCATTTTAATTTCCTTTAAGAACTTCGATTAATTTGATCTGTGATAGGAAATGAGAGTTATTAGATACTGTTGTTGGTTCCCCAATTTATACTAATTTTTTAATTTTCCTTACGCGCTATTCGCGTGGATTTTCAGAGACTGCAATGGGAACTTCCTTGAAAGATAAAGAGAGCAGCTTCCAACACAAGTATCGAAGTGCTGTACACGATATTGGAGAAACTTTCGTATATAGGTATGTAATTTCGCTTCAGAAATACATGTGAATATTCAAAGAGCTGAATCTACGATGTATATTATATTTTTCGAGTTCTGGATGACAATGTATTACCATATATTGATTTTGTAGATATATGAGACCGTGGTTTAAGCCAGACTATGTCTTCAACTGGATCCCCTTAGGATGGTACACGTCTAAATTGCTCAAAATATTACACAGTTTCACTAACGAGGTATGAATAAAATTTAGAACTATTTCTACTATTGATAGATCTGTTTTTAAAGCTTCTATAGTATTTTCAGTGCTAATATCGCGTTAATGATACATATTACAGATCATCGCAAAAAGGATAAACTATCACGATCAGACTAAAGGTCAATACCTATACAATTTTGATAAGAATTCAAGCAATACGTACGACGACGACGATGGAGCAAGTAAGTGGTGTCTGTTTACCATTAATTATAGTAACATCTTCGATCTTTATAGTATCGTAACGCGTATCTCTTCGCTTATTTGCAGTTCGCAAAAAGAAGCTGGCCATGCTCGATCTTCTGATAGCCACTCATCGTAAAAATCAGATAGACAACAAAGGTATAAGGGAGGAAGTCGACACTTTTATGTTCGAGGTACGTTTCTCCGATCTATTTTTGTTCTATCACAACGATCATTTGCGTGAAAATATCGTTTTTCGTTTCAGGGGCACGACACCACGGCGATGTGTTTTTGCTTTACCACTATGCTTTTGGCTGAACACAAAGATATACAGGTGACTCTTCTTTAATTAATTTAATAATTCTCTCAGAATTTTAATTAAAAAAAAACCATTTCGGTAAATGTTTTTCGCGGTAGTTTTATCCGATGATTGATTTCAGGATCGAGTCAGGAAAGAAGTGAAGGCGGCATTGGACCAAACTGGCGGCGAAGTAACCATGGCCACTCTACAAAATCTGCCGTATCTCGAAAGATGCATCAAAGAATCCCTTCGACTTTATCCTAGCGTGCCGTTTATATCGCGTCGCACGGAAACGGAAGTGGTTCTACGTAATTATCAAATAACCACGTTTCGAAGGGTAAACGCGCGAGATACACCGAGTTAATGATTTTAACGTTTCTAGATAATTACGTAGCACCAGACGACACGGAGATCCACGTACACATAATAGACACTCACAGAGATCCAAAGTACTGGCCGAATCCGGAAGTTTTCGATCCCGATAGATTCTTGCCCGAGAACTCGAAGGGACGACATCTTTATTCTTACGTCCCTTTCAGTGCTGGCCCGCGAAATTGCATAGGTAAATATCAAACTCGTTACGAGTATTCTGAAATACAGAAAATTGTGAAACAAATTAACTTTAAGGGGTTGGAATGTAGTTTTACTTTATGTGTTTTTGATTTTTAGGTCAAAAATTCGCTATGTTGGAGATAAAAACAACATTATTGTTCCTAATACATAATTTCTATCTCGAGCCCGTTAACTACCTGAAGGATGTTTCTTTTACCGTTGATGTAGTTCTACGCACTGTGGATCCACTTAAAGTGAAATTCGTTCCCATTGAGTTGTAATTGTAGCGTTCGTGTTATTAATACTAAAGATAAGAATTGATCTACGTTTAATGGTATTTCGAATTCAAGATGGTTTTCGCAAATATTAGAAGTCCAATACAATAACTTGGAAGGGTAAAAGCAGCGAACTATGTAACTAATATTTAATTAATTTAATAAAGCGATTTAAATTATGAAACCACGCACTAAAATGACTAAAAGATTGTTTATCGTACTTTTCGAGTTTCGAACGACCAAAGAATACTATTTTTAACCGCACTGCGAGCATCGCAAGGAAGACGCGTCACAATTTTTTGATAGACTTTCTAAAATTAAAGAGGAATATTGCCAGCTTCCTGACGTACGAAGAGTGCAAAATGTCTTCTAATGATTACAAATGTTATTCATTATGTTCCTCGATTTGATAAAATATACACTTTTAGCGTTAAAAAATGGGTACAGGGTCTGAAACGGATGCGTCATTTTCCACCAAATTGATTACTTCTCCGATTTCAAGGAATTAAAATAGGGGGGAGGGGTGCCAATTCTGTTGCAATTCGACAAGTATCGTAACTTCGTAAACTCGATCGAAGCCCGTTGACTTCATTTTTTTTACGAGTCTTGGTTTAAGTTGCTCATTGCATTATTTTGATATACATTCGATGATATAATACACGAAATACAACATCATCTAAATGACCATCGCGTCAACAGATCTTAATTTACTGGAACGTAAAAAAGTCCAATGGCGTCGCCTGAGATTATAATAAAATTATGATTATTAATGTCAGCGTTAAAGCTACGCACCTCGTTACGTATGACATAATGATTATTTACTGAAAATTATGCTTGAACTAAGTACGTATTCACCATCGGATTAAGACTCCATTGTTAGGTTCACAAACGTGATTTGCATTTAAAAAATATGGCCGTGTCCTTGCAGAATAATGAATTTATTACGTAAAGTACCTTGAAATTTATTTACATAACAAGTCATCGAAAAAATCATGGATCTTTTCGCGCGTATCCATAATTTAGCACATTGAAATCAGAGTTTGCGAATCGGAGTCTTTTGTTTTCGAAGCGTTGACGTACCGGAGACGATATAATTCGTACTCTCTATGCGTTAAACACTACCATTTGAATAATAAACATTACGATAACAAACGTTATACAAAGACTATTTGTTCTTAATAACGTCAGACTGTCTGTTACTGGAAGCAAACCGACGATAAGGAAACCATGAAGTCTGGTTTACCGAACCACTGGTTCTTGCGAATTTATACGAAACATACAGCAGTAAAAAAACAATTCCACTTTGTGATGTGCATTTATTTAGTACTTAAATATTTTAAAAGAATTCAATGACCCTACCATTGCCCTCGTCGCGGTTAATAGTTTCTTCATGCTTGGGTTACATTCGAGAATCGACCTCTGTTCCTCGTGCTTTCTGCATCCAATCAGTACATGTTCAATTATTACATAGATTCTGCACGTTTCACAATTACGTGAAAGTGTTTTCCCACAAGGTGATTATATTATTATTTTTTCTCTGGGTTAATCAAAATTAATGGTAAAGTTGTTTACCATTTTACTATCCTCAGATCTTGATTACCGAAGTATAAGAACTTCCCGTGCTGTTCGAATCCCAGTGAGCTGAAAGAGCAACCATACATGCACGCACTCGCACACAAAAAGCTGCATGACTCTGGACATACCTTTGTGGACTTTAATACATTTTTTTCTCCAGTTTTAATAACTATTTGCACAGTAAAATCACGCACATCTTCTGTTTTACGATTTCAAGTTTATTACGCGACAATATACCGAGTCTACAGCAGTAGAATAAATCTCCCTGGAGAATACGCCTCGCGGAGGATGATGTTCCTGGTCCAAGTTGAAAATCATGTCCTTTGTCGCCTGAGTTTCTTTCGTCCATTAAATGCTTTCTTTCCTCTCAACTGATTCAAATATCTCGTAATAAGTTACACCTCCCATGTCCCATTTAATGCAACGTAAAACTGTTTTCTCTCGTGGGTATTACGTTTTACAGTCGATGCTAATGGTCGACCAGAGTCTACCACTGTTCTTTACATTTAGGACTTTAAATCATTCATTTTTCGTCCCCTGTGACGTGTCTGACCGTTGACTTTTATTATCTGCGACGAGAATAAGCGAAACTTGGCCTGCTGTGCATTTAAAATTTGAAATAAAAGCTCTGGACCGAGTACAGCCAAAAAGCTTGGTCGCTGAATCGATTCGACAAGTTTATTCGTCGAATAAATGTTTTTTAGCGGTCAGCAATTTATGAAATTGTCGAACACAGCAGCATTTTTGTTTGTGTGTGTTTTTTTTAAAAGTTTTAATGCCCACGAGAGTAACATACGTCAAAGATTATCGTGTTTTCGTAATCCCAAAGTAAGACGGTGCATACGTATGAATGAAAAACTGTGATTGATGGCATTTTTTTCGTGAATATCGTAGTGGGCACACGGACTGTCACGAGGAGATATTTATCCGCGTAGACAGTATGCATTGAGATTCTGTCATAGCAAGTTCTCTTATTCCGAGTCAAATGTGCGAGTTGACATAGGATTTAGGAGACTTCCGTTCGGATTCGCTGCAACCTCGGACGACCGAGGCGCGTTACAGGGTGAGCAGTCTGTTACTCCGTGTTTCGTATTTAGGAAATGTTTAGTGACATTTTTAGCAAACAAATAACCGTTCAAGCAAGTAAAATTAACTCTTACAGCTATTTAGAATTTATGGAGAATAGTAGGAGAAAGTTACGTTTCAATAACTTGCATTGGATTTCTGTTAGCATAAAGTATCGTTTGTCGCAGAAAATAATATTATTAAATGAGGGGAAAAATAAGTCTAATATTCAGAAGATTCAGAGAGGAATTTTTGATCTTTACAGAATTGATAAAAAACATTTCTTTGAAAAACTTCTTAAGGGGCCTTTCTACTTTGTGGAACTAAAAAAATCGAATGTTTTTTTTGTGTTTTCTTTTAATATGTAGTCTTGAAAATATATCTACCAAATGTTAAATTGAAATTCGGAAAACTGACGAAGTTATAGCCTGCTGAAATGTACCTATTACCTACGCAGTTGGGCGCCGTTCGTAGAAACTGTTGTTCGTTGATCAACAAAAACTGCGTAATTAATAGATATTATGCGTTGCAAAAATTCGTAAATATAGTTAAATATATAATAAATATATCCACAAAAACCTGAATTAATCGCTCTTTAGTAGTTCGCAAAAAAAAATTACTAAGAAACGTGTATTTTTCTTGCCTACAAAGAAGAATGGGCCCTTAACACTTTGACGGCCGCTCTCACGTATACGTGACTTTGCGAGCTAGCAGACGTTGGCCATTGTCACGTGTGTGTGATCTACTGTATCAGTCACCATTTCATTATACATTCAACTTATTACGTTGAGGTTACATTTATAATTCTTTATAATAATATTCCTAGCATCTTCGTGTATCATATCACTTTGGTGCGACCATTAAAGTGTTAAGCGCCTTACCCTCTCGTGTATTTTATTTTCGCAGCCCATTTGGGTCACCATTGTCAGACGCAGAGAAGAATTAGAATTTTGCAAAAATGATCACCGCAATATTATTCTGCATAGTCGCAGCACTATTTGTACACTTCATTGTTCTACATTATGGAAAGTATGGCAGGATTATGAACCTGATACCGGGTCCTCGAGTAATGCCATTACTCGGGAACCTGTACGATCTCCATGTTCCGTCGTGTAAGTCAAACAAATAATATCGTTTATCCAGCAATGGTAAAAATAAAAACCAATAACAACCATTCATACGTTATTACAGCGGAAATTTGGAAATTTATGCGACAGTTGGGTAATCGATACTATCCGATTTATAGACTTTGGTCTTTCACCGTGCCATTAGTTTATATTCGCCATCCTGACGATGTTGAGGTAATGAAACAGTTATATAATTCCGAACACCACTATTTACATATTAAATAATAATATTTTGGGACGTCTGTAATTCTTGCTAATTTATACAGCTTACCATAGCTATAAAAAAAAAACAAATGTATAATTAATGAAGAAAAGAAAGCTGTAATATGCATCCATATACGCGACACTCTCAGTGTACGAATTAATTATTATAATTTACATGAAAAACTTCTGACACGTTTAGACGATACTTGGAAATCCCAAATCCATCCAGAAAAGTGAAATGTACGATCTTCTCATGCCCTGGTTCGGGACTGGACTTCTCACCAGCGGAGGTATCATTTCTTCTCCCGTTTCATTTTTACAAAACGATTCTAGGAATTGACGAGGAATTTATTAGGAATTTTTATTAAAATATGACCGGGATAAATGTACTGGTTATCGTTTGTTTTTCGTTTCCATTTCTTTCAGGTAGCAAGTGGAAGGTACGCAGGAAGATATTGACACCAGCCTTTCACTTCAACGTCTTGCAACAATTCATTGACATTATTATCGAGGAATCAGAACGTATGACGAACTTATTGAAGAACGAAGGAGGTGCAGTCGTGAAAAATCTGATGCCCTTCTACAGCGAGCACACACTGAACGTGATATGCGGTAAACTATCGTGAAACTTGTACAAAATTCTACGAAAGTTATTGCAACGCGCCACTGCAAATCTATAACGTTTTCCTTGCACGCGTTTCACGTAGATTTCATTTACAGAAACTGCTATGGGAACTTCTTTGAAAGATAAAGGGCGTTTCCAACACAAGTATCGAAAAGCGGTATACGATATGGGAAAAGTTATAGTGTACAGGTAAATAATTTCTGGTATACATTACCATGCAATGTATGCACAGTAACAATATATTTTTGTGCATCGATTTTGTAGATTGATAAGACCGTGGGTTCATTCTCACAACATTTTCAAATTCTTCCCCCAAGGATGGCATCAATCTAGATTACTCAAAATATTACACGGTTTTACCGACGAGGTGAGAAATATAATTTCTAGTTCAAACTATCATCCTGATACTGGATTAAAACGAAGTTAACAATACGTTATAGATCATCGCGGAAAGGAAAGATTATCATGAGAAGACAAGTGGCAAATATTTGACTGGATTTAACGATGATCCAAGTCTGAAGGATAATTCCGACGATGTAGGAAGTAAGTAATGTTTGTTCATCAACGATACTTCCCATAAATCCCATTTCCACTTATTCTCATTTGTTTGCAGTTCGTAAAAGGAGGCTTGCTATGCTCGATCTCCTAATAGCAGCTCATCGTAATAATCAGATAGACGACAAAGGTATAAGGGAAGAAGTTGACACTTTCATGTTCGAGGTACGTTTCTCCAATTTATTTTTGTTCTATTAACAACAATCATCTATGTGAAAAAATCGTTTTTCGTTTCAGGGGCACGATACCACGGCGGTGAGCCTTTGCTTCACTACTATGCTTCTGGCTGAACACAAAGAAATACAGGTGACTCATTTTTTAACAATTTAGTATAGTTAAGAAATCATCTTCGATTTCTAGACGGTATTACGTACAGGTAGAATTAATTATAGCAAGTAACGAAATTAGGTATAATTGATAATCGAATATCATAGTATTCATAACAGTGTTTTTTCTTCAACTATGATGTTTTACTAGACCCTCTATTTTAAAGAAATATTTGCAACGATTAAACAAAGAATCTTTATTCTCGTCTTATTTCTTCAATTTCTATGAAAACATATATTTAATGTTCAAGAGAGTTAAGAAGCATTGGTTTTCAGGCTAAAGCCAGAGAAGAAGTGAAGGCGGCTTTGGAGCAAGCTGGAGGCAAAATAACCATGGCCACTCTGCAAAATGTACCATATCTCGAGAGATGCATCAAGGAATCTCTTCGACTTTACCCAAGCGTACCATTTATATCGCGTACCCCGGAAATGGACGTTCGATTAAGTGAGTTACCAAACGTTATTTACCAATCGCGAAAAGCCACGAAAGTAAGATTCTCTACGATGATATTGCCAGGTAACAAACTCGTACCGACCGAAACGGTGGTCAACGTGCTCATCGTAGACGTCCACAGAGATCCAAACTATTGGCCAAATCCGGAAGTTTACGATCCGGATAGATTCTTGCCTGAAAATATGAAAGGACGTCATCCTTACGCCTATGTACCTTTCAGTGCTGGTCCACGAAATTGCATAGGTACGAAATAGAAAGTCTTTCCAACAATACGAATACATTTAACACCGAATTTTTGGTCTCTGAATTTGCAGGACAACGATTCGCCATGTTGGAGTTGAAAACAACATTGTTATTCTTATTAAACGATTTCTATTTCGAGCCTGTTGACTATTTGAGGGACATGGATATCGATGTAGATTTGGTCATTCGTCCTACGCGTCCGATTCGAACCAGGTTTGTTCCCATCGAGTCTAAATGATGAGGATCGAATATCGATGGCGGTGCGTGGATTTCGAGGACAGTAAGTACAGTGAGTTCATGCTGATAATAACAACGATAAGAATCGATTTAAATGTAATTTAAAATCCTAGACACGATGTTGCAAACACGATGGTTACGAGTAGAGCACATTAGGCTTTGGAGTGCAAAGAAAATCCAGGGTGTTTTTTCGAAATTGCTGAAGGTTAAGGAGTTTACTATTCTTACATATTTGGTGTTTTCAAATTAGCTTTTCTTCTTGAAGTTTCAAAGTTCAAGAAACAATGTCGTAATTTGTGTAATTTTTTCATTGGGTTTGAAACTATGGATGTCAGAAATTATATTTGATTATTTCAAAAGTCTAAAATTGTTTTATATTTACTCAATTATCGGCACATTGGCGCGTAGTTAATTTAAAAAACAACGGCACAAAGTCGGTGCAATCGAAGTTTGTACGCATAATTATAATTTATATGATTTTAGTTCCTTACATTGTTCTACGTCAAGAGATATATTTTATGTACTGTGGCGAATATATTTTGTAATAAATTTTTAAAAATAAGGTTTCTGTTGTACAAAAATATACTCTATATTCAATACGTATAATATGTGATAATTGTATGCATAGTGTAATGATTAATATTCTGTAATTCTACAATTGATTTTTTAGTCTTATTTTTACCTGTAGAACACATTGACAAAATATGAATGGAAATATACGGAATACATAGATTCCAATTATCTGAATCATCTTGTCCCCGCCTGGTTCAGATAAATCGAGTTCCACTCTTTAAGTTGTCTACGCTGTAGAACAAGATTATGGAATAGGAAGCGTTCCCTCAGGTTCGTTTCACGCTAAAATGAAGCAAACACAACGTTTAGTTGACGATCACTTTTAATAGTTGAAATAGGAAAACAATGTACAGATACAGAATTTACATTCCTAGCCGACAAAAGTTGCTAGATAAAATGTTAATCGTAAAAAATGAATTAAAATAAAACGATACACTTAACGAGCGGCTTATTCCTTTTATCTATTCGCTTATCGGTTAGTCCTTTACCTAATTACGATGATTGAATTATTAATTATAATTATGCCTTTTGTATAGACACACAGGTGTGAATACGTAATGGAGATTCTTAAAAGCTACACAATGTTTTTTTCTCTTTACTTTGGTTTTAAAGTAAGGACTAGTATGTTGAGCTTCGCTCTGTCTCTATGTGTAAAAACAAAAATAGCAAAATGTCGATCAAACGAATCCTGGCAGTTCCTTTTTTTTTATTTTTATTTCTTCCCCCACCCACAGAAAATCAACAATGGTACGTAAATTCGTGCAGGGGCAACGTCGTGTTTACGTCGACGACTGAAAAATCCAAATATCATCGAATACATCGGGTAAGCGTCGTTCCACGTTCTACACGTCGCGACATTATTCGGAAAATACGATCACATCCGCTATGAGCACAGTTTAAGTAGGAGTTAAATTACGCATATTAACATCGAATACATCGTGATACGACGTACGTACACAATAAAGTATTCCTTCTCTTCCCTTAATCGGTTTATGGTCGCAACGAGCGCGTTTGCGCGCGACGGTAACGTTTAAACAAAAAACATCGGTAATGCGATATTACGCTGGTAATTCTCTATCGTCTAAAATGCTTTTTCGATAAAAATTGTGCTTATTCCCAGACTTTCACTATTCGAGAACTACTTTTCGCGGGGAATAGTCGCGGTTCGAGACACCGGATGCGACCATAAACCTTAACCGTTCTAATTAACGTTACTGCGATGAAGGCACGAGGCGTGTGTGTTGAATCTTGTGCAGAGGGTGCAGTGAGACGAGCACAAGAAGGAGTGTGTGTGTGTGTGTGTGTGTTGGGTGGGTATTGTTTGCCCGAGCATCGCCGCGTTCGCGGTTCGCGATAGAAACGCTTCTCTGACGGATTTCTACAGCGAATGAACGTCAGAACGTTATCGATGATTTACACAGACGACAAGCGAAGCTCACAGAGTAATGTATACCATTTAGAATTGGAAATGTAATTTAGAATTAGAATGTAAAAATACTATGTATATATACAAGTAATTAATGTACCAATTTTCTGGTGTCTTAGTTTATATTACACGGTTTTCTCATTCTCCCCGTCTCCCGTTTTGTTTTGCTTTCCTTTCGTCGTGGGAGTGTCTCTTTACTTCATCAGTATTATCGGTTGTACTTAAGAACAGCGATGATTGCTCCAAAGAATTACGTTTGTAAATTCTGATCGCAAAAATTTAGCCGTGACGGCGGCCCGCGTAACAAGTATGTTATATCGTCCCGCTATGCATCATATATTTATACATTGAGAATGTCGATTTCTTGTTGGCACACAAACGGAAGCAACATATATATTCGATGATACGCTTAATGATTTTGCGACACATCGTTCACTCGTATCGCTCGATATACGTGATAAATTGTTGTTTCTCTGCTCGACGGGTAAGAAATCTGCTTCGAGGTTCTAGAAACAAGCCCTTTTTCTTTGTTCGTTAAAATTTTCTTTGCCTTAACATCGTTTCTCGATGAACCTGATTCCAAATAAACGTTGACATTTGACTTTTTAAAAAGGAATTTCATCAGGGGCGTTTCAGGAAGCGAAATTTCTCGCCGTCGTTTCACAGTAAAACGCAAGAATCGATTTATCGCGATCAAAGTATAGCGTACTTGAAATTGAAGGTTCGTGTTCCGTTCGATCGAACGGGCAAATCGAATCGAATGTAAAATCGAGTCGTTCGAATATCATAAAAAACGATTAAACTGCTCAAGTGTTATCCAGTCTTCGCCTCTTGTGGAAATGGTAATTTGGAACGGATAAGTTCGTTACGGTAAAATTCGTCACTTCACTTTCGGCGATTTCGAAAAACCTCGCGAGTATTGGCCGCGACAATTTCCCGCGTCATTTTGTCGCACGATGTATCATCGGGTCGAAGGACGCGTTGTGTACTAACGTCGGCGAGAATCAGTTTTATTTTCGTTCGTTTTTCTCTTTTAAAAATAGGAAAGAATACGAAAAAACGAATACGAAGAAAAAAACATCAAAAGTGATACGAATATATTTACGAACTATTTACGAAAGCTCTCGATCGTTTTTCCTCTTAATTTGATATAATTCGTTATGCATTTCATTTTTCGTGTCTATCTAAGTGTATATGTACATTATATACATGTAAAACGTTTAATTTATCCTTCGTACCTTAATGATTGTATAATTAGGATTGACTATGTCTTAGAATAATCAACGGAATTATTAATTATTGTGTAAAATATGAAATATCGTACTGTTAGATGGTATGTCCATCTCCAAGGTACCATTTTGGACGAATATCGGTCCGTCTAACATGCCTAGCACTTTGATGAGCAAATACTTTGGAGATTACATAATCTAATAATATCAGGTAATATTAAGTATAGATGATTTTTGTTATTAATTACAAATATAAAACATGTATATGTAAATAGAATTCTTAATTATGCGCAAACATGTTCTCTAATTGAGCATACGTGAATTTTTTTTTTTTTTTTTATCATCAGTCTAAGCCGAACGGTGCGGCTCCATACACAACAGCAGCGGTTAACAATACACGTGTTTTTTTTTTTTATTATTTTTTAAGCTTTGTAGAATCTACCGTAACAAATCAGTGTCCTCCCCGGTAATGAAATAACAATAGCGCATGCTACGAAAACGTTATTCGTAAAACTTTCAAACGGTTCTCAAGCATAAAACACACATGACAACGGCGCGGAAAGTATACATTTCGATTCCGTTGAACGACACCCCTCTTCTCCGGCAACATTTTCCTCTCGCGCAATTTACATATTTTTTGTTTCATTTATTTTATTTCACCACCATCCCGTCACATGTGCCTCGGGATATAACAAGCCGGGTGTCTCGGATCGGTTCTCGCGTGAATCGATGAACGGTCGCCGATCGCCGGAGAACGAACAAGTGAAAATAGCGTAGGATGCGATCGATCGTCGACACATCGTTCTTCACTACGACGTTGAACGAGACCCCGTTGGATAAGTACGATTGCTCGAAACATACACGCCTGCGCACCGATTACTCGTATTTATTTATAATCGTGATCGACGCGAGAGCGCTATCGCTGCTCGCGTGTCTGCGTATGGGATATGCGAAACGGCGCGTGTTTCGTGTATCTTCGGAGCAATCCCACTTACGTCTACCTTAACTTTTATATCCGTACGATACGCGAGCCAAATTAGAAGCGGCGACGTGCGTAGATTTCTCAACGTAATTTTCACGATGATCATACACAGAGAACATCGGACGTGAATTAGTCAATACTTTTTCCTCTATTTATCGTTTGCGTGAAATTCATGTGGAAGATAATTCAGATTGGGCGCGTATCGATCGTGATCTTTCATATGGAAATTGAACGAAACTTACACTTGTCGACTGATGCCACGAGTATATCGTCGTCACTCGTCATCGTGTGTCCGCGAGACTCACCATCGCAATAGGCCAAACTGTGCGCGATCTTTTTCGTATCGTTTTTCTTTTCTTCAAAAATATATGTCGACTACTTAGGCTTTCGATAAACGGAAAGACGTCGTCTCGTCCGATAACTGGAATAATTATTTACTTACTTTTTTTTTTTTTCATCATTTTCATCCTCGGGATATAATTTGTGGCCTAGCGTAATAATCCTATACAATATTTCATTATAGCTTAGGTAAAGTGAGACCCTCATATGATCCATTTTTTAATTACTTTTTTTTTTTTTTCTGGAGTGTGTGTAACGCTGTGACATATCGCGCTATTTACAAGGATAATCAATATTAATGGAAATAAATGCAAAAATATATATGTATAAACATTTAGTTGAACTACGTCTTTTCTGTTCTTATCGTTTTTGCACAAAGACCTTTGTGCAAATGCAACTTCTAACTTGGCTGTGCCAGGGAAATACTTTTACTCTTAACTAAACTCATACTCGTATAATTAAACTTATGTACTATTGTCTTTTTTTTTTTTTTTTTGAAGATATCACTACTCCAAGACACTCACTTTTACTTCTTTTCCTATCTTTCGTTTGTGTATGTTTTGTTTTCTTTTTGTTACTTCCGTATATAGACTTCACTGATTATGTTGATCGTATTTTCTTTCGGTTATTATTTTTTTTTTTTTTTCGTGATTTTCAATATCGTATCGTTTCGTTGCGATATCACACGTTTTTTTTTTTTTGGGTAGGATATACAAGTGGCTCGAAGCTATCGCTGTCTTAGGAAAATACGCATAGCGAAATTTTACAAAAAAGTCAACGGCTTTCACGTGATGATAATTATCTTACATCAATTAACTATAAAACGTTCGTGTTCGCGGTACAGGAATAAAAAATCAGGCAGTGAAAGTAGTCGAACCTCCGTCGCTCAGAAGAAATGGTGTCTAGCAGTCCATTTGCGTAAACGCTCGAAGGGTTAACAAAAAAAAAAAAGGCTACTTATTAGATATGTTACAAATATTAACCATCGACGGACGATATTTGTAAATATTTGGCAATTTTATTATTTCGTAAATTTAATTATAAAATATCACCGACTGTACCGCGTCTCTTAATAAAACATTAAAAAACGATTTACTCGCTACGAGTGTGCCGATTTTGTTAACCGAACTGACGAAACTGTACACAAACACGACGAAATGGAAACAAAATCAGCACGAGTTGGACGTCACGTGAAAACAGTTCACCCTATAAATATTCTCCTAACTCTAGTCACGGTTTAATCGTTCGTATTTGTGCTGTATTATCAATCTCGATAACAAAACCTCCTAATCACTTGGCGGAATATCTAAAAAAAAAATAACATCGTCGGCGAACAAAAACGTAAGCTCGCTTCATCGAACATCCGGAATAAAACTGTAAACGCGTATAACGTTTGGAATCGCTCTAAATGCGATCGATTAAAGTATCCGGTAGTATTGACTTCTGGACTCGGCAGTGAAGAACTGTTCCACGTAAAAAGCAAAAGAAAAGAATGGTGACGAACAGTAGAAAGGAAAGGAGTATTTGCAAATTTGTTCGAATCGAGTTCGTAGAAAGAGCGGTGAAATTCTTATCCCGTGTCGTTTTTAACGCGTGAACAAAATTCGATCCGCCAAAGTGGGGTTTCCAAGCACGAGATGGCCGAAGCAGCGTCGCTAGCACGTCTCGTGAATTCACTCGGGATAGTTTTACCTAAATGTCGCCTAGCATTTTTAGTACCTATCTGCTCATCGAGTATCGTTTCAATCCGCCAAGCGTCACGACAGACTGTTCTCTTCGCGGAACAAGCTACCTCGTGACGCTTTTCCGTTTTAACAAGTAAGATCCGTTCAATCTAACAGAGAACGCGTCGCGGGTAATGAGCAAGAGGGAAAGGGGATGAAGGAAATCCAGTCGGATCACTACCGATTATGAACGTCGTCAACTGTTTCCCTGTGTAAAACGATTGTCTCGCTTCCTTCGAATTTCAAACAAGAAGTCGGCCAAATGTCCGGGTAGACCTCTCTTTCAAACGATTGCAAACGAAACCATGGACGGTCGTACGTATATACGAAAACGAATAAATACATGCGAGCGCGACTTCACGATGATATCGAGAGCAGCGTCGTCGGCTACGCGAGTCATCGACAAGACATCCGTTGCGGGCTTCGATGTTATCGCCGATCGCTGTATCGATATTACTTTCAAAAGAGCAGCTTACCGTGAGCAATAATAACCTCGTATAAAAACTGAAATCTAGAAAGTATCGAATATTATCACGGATCGTCGATCATCCTTGTCTCTTCTAATTTGCGTCGGTTTTTCTGACCAATGTTGGATCGCACGTGTTTGTCGGTTGTCGGTACAAACTACGAGTAACTTATTCCAAGGTAAGAGTAGTAAGGCATAAACGTGATCGTAAAATCCATACTATACCTCTGTGCTCTCGGGGAAACGAAACATCCACGGACGTTATCCACGTCCACGCCGTTCCTCGGCTATTTTTTTTCCGTTCGCGTAGACACATTTGTCGAACTCTGTTTCTCAGTTTCACTATGAAGTCGTCACAACGAGTAAAAACCATTGTTACGAGAGCGCAACGAAAAAAAGTATCATTGAGCAAGCGGCGAGCGATTGCGAACGTATGTACATCCTTGATCGATCGTTCTTCCGTTCGACGCGTGATATGCGAAACGTAAACCACGTGTAAATGCGCGAAAATGAACGCGGGAAACAAATGAACGCGTAACGTATATGCATTCCGGTTCGTAACATTGTACCGCGTGCTTAGTAAAAGTACGTTAATAAAGTCCTCTCTGGTATTTACATGCTTCTTACTTTCTTTCATGTTCAAAGAAGTCGTCGGAACACCCACACGAAACTTCCGCGAGCGTCGCCGCACAGCTTCCCCACGCGTGCGACTTGACCCGAGATCGTCGACGCCGGTAACGTCGAATGAGGCCGTAGAATCCGTTTCAGTTTATCCACGAGCATTCCGATTAGAGCCGGGTGGTTCTTTCTGTAACGGTAATAGTCTCGTCCCGTGGTACGGCGCGGTATTTGCCGCGCACCGAACTCGGGCCGAAGATGGGCGATCCTCAGACAAGATGGCCGTCGATGTCGGAATAGGTCGGCGTTGGGGTGAATGTCGACAGCGGGTGGCCGTGAGTGTGAGGATTGCCGGATACCGATCGCGCGAAGGTCGTCGGTGGCGGGGGCACCGAGGGCGGTATCGGTGATTTCGATCCCGCCGTCATCACGGTGACGTCGGGCGGCGGAACCGGACGCGGCAAGGTTCGACTGCGCGTCAGCGTTCCGGTTCCGGTGTTCAAGTGGCCCGACACGATGTGCCCCGTGGGACTCATGGATGGATAGTACGCTCCCGAGCCCGGCTCCACCACCGGAATGGGACTGTGGTTCGTCTCGTATCCCATGTATCGTCCGTTGTCGATCTCCACGCTGTAGAAGTTCACGTCGTTCGGCGGCGCTGGACTTGGGTTTCCGATGTAACTCGATTTCGAAACTGCAAGTTCGAAAACTTTCGTTAGTCGGTGCGGTGTCTATTGCTCCTGTTGTATAGGTGTTACTGATTTCTAATTGGGACATTTACAGTCGTGGATAGAATTAAGTGGACGGGTAAAGGAAATTATTAGAAATTAAATTTAACCAAAGTAGTATCGCAGACGAAGTGCATGAGTAGACCTTGCGTCGAATGTATTTTTTCGGTTACAGAATTGAAAACAAGAGGAAGTGAGACAGAAAATGAAATTACAGAAGCATTCCTGGCCACACATTGTATTTTCGATTAGGAATTTTTTTCTCGAAAGTGAGTAGGATTTTGGGGGTATGTTTATTCACCAAGAATGATTGTAAGTGACCCTCGCAACTAAAAATAATTTTTTTAGAACGTTTTAAAATATTTTAATTTTAATGAATTTTCGAGATCGTTTATTTTTCGAAAGAAAAAATTTTAATTTTTTGCGAACTGGTTCTGAATGGATCGCGTTAAATATTAATATTAATTTTGAAATATTTTTACGGAACTGGGTCTCGGCCAATAAAACTTTGGGAAGCCCTGAGAGTTTACTCGTAAAAGTCACTTTGTTCATTCCATTTACGGTCTTTTTAGAAAATTATTTGAAATTCGTTAGAAAAATGCGTACCAGAAAGTGTCCCACTGGCTGTGGTTCGCTGTGGCGGCGAGTCCATACTCATGGGTGGTTGAATATGGTTGCTACGACGACCAAGAGTTCCCTGATGATGTACCTGCATCTCCAAGTTCCCTTTCCCAAAATCTTGCATAGTTTGATCTATTAAATACGTGCTAGCTGCTGTTTTTCGGCCTTCGTCCTGTTGCGTTACATAGAGAGAAATTGTGTCGTTAAATTCACGCGTGCCGCAGAGATAAACCTGCAACGTTTCTACGAGAGTCGTTAAAACGGCAATACCAAATCGTATAATAACGCGGAGTTGCGTAGCTACCATTATTCGTAGCGTATCAGTATGAAGTACGTTACCGTGTTTACATGCAAAACGGAGCAACGTTTCGTGTTCTGTTTCGTTATTAATTTCATCATTCTGATACATTACGAGAATTCTCGGCGTGTACACGTGCATGAGAAATAGTTCTAATACATCCAACCCAAAACCTGCCTATACTTAAGGATACTGTAAGAAACGAAGTAAGACTATGATAAGTATAAGAACGGGAAAACAAAAATAAATGTGTTACTGCTGGTCGAAAGATTGTACTACTTGATTAGGTTCCAGAAGGGTATGGGTCTATTATCGAAATCATAATACGAAGAAAAATAGTACGATACGACAGAAAAGAAGAAAACAGAGGGGTTTCGAAACACGACTGTTCGCAAATGATCCCCGATAGGACTAAATCGTGAAAGGTATCCAAACGAAAGTAAAACGAAACAGAAATGTGTTAATAGAACTCAAACCTACCCTCCGGCATTACTTGTTACTAAGAACATACTGACTGATCGCACTGACCACGTAATCGTTAGTGTCGAAGTTAACGTCGCTCTTCTCGTCCGATACCGAACTTAATTCACCGGTCATGGTGTCTCCATTGACGGTGGACGGTGCGTACATATCCGCTGTCTGGGATTTGTTAAGCCCTGTGCAAATAAAAGAGAACAGACGGGGATGAGAAACGCGAAACTTTTCAGACCGATGCCTGTCGTTCGTTATTTATATTTCTTTGTTGATTCATTGTGCGAAGGAAACGCATTCGCTCCCATTCGACGTGTTCACTTACGATCTTTATTTCGTTTTCTCATAATGTACCACAACACGATGATCAGGATATTAATGACAAAAAAGATGAGGGAGGTTGCGGCAAACGTATAGATATAATTCATTGCAAAATCTCCCTTTTCCAAGAGAACGTCCGGCAGGTTCTCGGCGTTATTCGGCCCTAGAGGATAAGCAGAAAAAGAATATATATGATAGTGATTATATTTACCGGAACGTTGAGCCTTCTTTTTCGATTTTAATGTAGCAAAGACTATGGGCGCAGCAATGAGTAGGCAAACAGAGGCGGAAACAGTGATGATAATGACGATGATGTAGGAAGAATTAATCTCGCTGGATGTCACGTCGGTAGGTGGTGCCTCCCCTGTAAGCCAAGCCAACGCACCCATCACCGGAATTGTTATTCATGCAACGGCGGTCCACAAATGTTAGTTACATCTAGCACGCCGATCGATTATTAAACGCACTCGCGCGACATTTCATTAGCACATCTAAGTCCATCAGCAATGGTAATCTTTCATTTGAATCCGTGATTAGGCACACAATCGACGACCAGTTTACGTTACGATACAGATCAGAATTTACGATATTTACTCCGTTTCGACGACGAACGATATTTCGTGCCTGTTATCAATTGACGATTTTCGTGTTAATCAGTTCTGCCAGAGACACGGGATTTAGTAAGAGGCCGCGATGCGAATGGTTAAAGCGTAAATATGACATGGACGTCCACATGATGCAAAATGTTACTCGAACGAACATGAACGAATAATTCATTTTTTCGATAGAGAATAGCTCAATGTTTCGTTACGAAAGCACGGAAAATATTAATCGCTACTAACGTCATAATCAAGATACGTATTAACTACTTTCGATTGACAATGATATGTCACTATCCCTCTACTAAGCGGTACTACATACTAGAACGCATTACGGTACTCGTATCGACGACAACACGTGATAAGTAAAGTATGCGAGATACGAAATGCATGTCTGGTAATCGAAGCGTACGCATAAATTCGCATCGAACCGAGATTTGTTAGTAAACGAGTCCCGTTGTCGCAACAACGATCCTCTCGGAATTGTTAGCTCTAAAATGGTAATACAAATGGCAAAAGGTACTATTGGCTCTAAAAAGCAATCATTACGGCACGCACAGCGTTCTACACGTTCAACCAAATTCCAAGACTTACGGAGCGTCTGAACTTTGACAAGATCGGGAAGGAAGCCACTGTCTCCTTTCTTGTTAATGGCTTTCACGCTGAACACATAGTAAGTCCCCAGGGACAGTCCGGTTATCGTGGTTTTATATACTCCCGGGGCAATGTCTACATAGTGGTATCGATCCTCGTAGTCGAGTGCCTCTCTCCAACGTATTTGGTAGGATGTCGGTAAGCCCCCGTCGAATCCTCTCTTCCACATAAGAGTGACGGTATCGTGGGTAACGTTATAGACCTCTAGATCGGTTGGTTTGTCCGGCGGTGACGTGACGTCCAAATGTATGATATCCGTCGACTGTCCCATGCTGTTCATCGCTCGGCATTCGTATTTCCCATAGTCGAGGGACGTCACGCTCAGAATGGTCAGCGTCGATTCGGAAAATAGTTCGCTTAACTGTAAAAACAACAGAAAAAAGAACAAAGGCTGACTCAATAAGCGCACAGAATTATTTTGTATGCGACGAAGAGATAACACAGTTTGTAACTTAAGTAAAAATTGTATATGTAGCTGAGGATTATTATTTCTGATGTTGTGTACTAGCTGCAAATCTTTGCTGAAACTGTTTCTGTCCAGATTGTAAACAGTAGTCTTCGCAGATAGCTGAAAAATTTGTTAGGATTCGTGGATAATTAATTATATTATATTTGTTAGTCAAATGGAGCTTAAGGGTTTTGATACTACAAAGGATAACGGTTTTTGAAATATTTTCCTGTGAATGGAAAACATACAGCTGATCGTTGTATGCATGTAACGTATCGTTATTGGGTCAGCAGAATTTGGAATCATGGAACCAAGCGAATATTTTGTGAACGATACATAAATAAATGAAGCTACTCAGATTTGATTGTTCAAAAGATTCACCATTTACTTTGGCTCCTTAAGACTTTTAATTCGATACGTAGCGTTGTCGAGAACTGTTTATGTTGTAGCGGTCACCGCGGTTTACGATTCACGCGGCGACGATAGCTATTTCCGAGAAAATGTTTACCGCGCGATGAAAGGACGTTTCAGGTAGTTTGCTCGTCGACAGCCTCGATAGCTAATTGCGAGCGTCGTAAACCGTGAATTCTTGGAAGACGCCCGTACGAGGCGCAACATCCCCACCCCGACAAAATTAGGAATCGATAAGGAAGTCAGTCTTGCGGAAACATCGGAAGGAACGACTGGTCGAAAGTGCTCCGCAATCGCGAACACCACGAACAAATAAAGACTGTGATCAACGGATCTAACGCGCGAGTTTCGTTACAACGTCGACGATAACTGTTTGTGGAAAACTTACGTCCGTGTGTGTGATGCTGTACTTGTGTTCCGTCACGTTCGGTAACAAGGTCTTCCCGTTGAAAGTCCAAGCGAACCGTGGCAACGGCGAGCCACGCGCTTTGCAAAACAGCTGCACGTTTATCCCCTTGTTCGCGGCCGCTCTTCTCGTCAGAGGTGTGTTCATCATTTGCGGTTTGACTGTAACGTAGGAACGTTTTATTGAGAATTTCCATAAATTGTCGTTTCGGTTGGCAAACGAGCGCGCGGTACCGCGGTTAACGAAATCCTATCGATCAAACGAATGCACGTACAGTTAGTGACGAACAGAATAGGCTCGGAGGTGACGTTGCCGATTCCATTGTTCACTTTGCATTGATATTCTCCGACGTCTTCCTGATCTGGATTTTCAATGTGCAGATAAGAAGTTTTGTTGATGAAAGAGGTCGAGTACCGTCCGGAGAGCTCCGAGTTCGAGCCAACTTTCTGCCACGTGACGTATTCGTCTCCTATGGGGCTGCCATCCACCTCGCAGAACAATTTTGCCTCGACACCTGGAGGATACACTATACCGGAAGCCGAGGTGCCTTTTATCTTTGCAGAGTCTGAAACGGACGAAAGGTAACGAAAGTTAAATGCTTCCCTAGTACCGTACAACCATACGCGTTGCTTGTACTTACATTGAACGGTCAGATTTAATTGATAGAACGTCGTTCCTTCTTCGTTGGAGGCTTCGCATATGTACGTTCCAGCGTCGTGGCGATCCAGTTTGGTAACGTTTAACATCGAGCCGCGAACGGATATCCTCCTACTGTTGCTGACCAACGGCAATCCGTCTCTGGTCCACGTGTATGTTATTTCATTGGGATTGCTCATAGCAGAGACAGAAATCACGAACGGTTCGCCTTCCATTCCGATTAACTCGTGGGGCTCTATCGTGGAGAATATCGGCTTGTCTGCGGATCGGGAGCGAATTCACGGATTAATTTCGGTTTTAGAACAGGATGTTCACCGGCGTGATCAACGACCATTAGTACTGGTATACTCACACAACACGTCCAGGGTTGTAGCATCGTGAATTGATCTCTCCATTTGATTGTTTCTCGCTTGGCAAGTGTACACCTCGCCGTTCATATCTTCCGTGACGTCCAACGTGAGTTCGACGAACGACAGATACCCTCCGTGTAAGCCGGGTTTAGTGCCATTTTTGGTTCCCTGAACCGGAATACCGCCCTTCCACCACGACATTTCTGCCGCCGGGTAGCTGCTGCTCGATTCGCAAATGATACGACCCTCTTGGCCCGCGTGCAAGTCCTGGGGTTCCCGTGAGATCTTCACTTTGTCTGGCGGGACTGTTACAGAAGACCAATACGTTAATTGTGAAACGAACATTTTGCAGAAATAATCTTCAAGCGATAACGAATTTTATCGAATCTTACAGTTGACTTTTAAGGTGAACGTTTCAACCAGAGGAATTTCGGTGGCAGAATTCGATCCCTCGCATCGTATGCGTGCATCGTTGTCCGATGCATTAACGAGCATCGTCAGCTCGCTGGACGACATAGGACGATCTCTCAATCTCTTGATTCCAGACATCTGAAATTATTCGATTTTTTCTTACGTAAAATGTGCTACCGGATATAACATAGTTTTCTTTCTAGCTCTGGACTCTCAATCTTAGTTGCATGTGTCTTATAGTCTAACAAGTTTAAAAATACACGAAGATATTAACAATTTGAAAATTAAAGTAGGTGAGTATACTTCTTTATTTTAAACAGTCGCTCCAAATTATTTTTGAATGGTTCTTTGCATACATTTTTGGGAAATTTGAAAGACACGTCTCTTTATTAAACACAAATGACAACTTGAACGTTTTATCCGCTTTTCTTATAGATCTGTCGATGGACCAGGAATACTACTTTCTTCAACAGCACCTTATGGTACGTTTTACTCATTTTTTAAACGATAGATCGTGTACGAATGACAACGAATAGAAGCCAGAACTCTTTCTCACCTTTATGTTGTTCTTGTACCAAGTCAGGTTGGCCGGGGGATTTCCCGAGATGGCGGTGCACATCAGATTCAGCACCGTGCCAGCGTCTATCCTCGTCCCTTCCGCGTAACCGGTGATACTCAGTTGCGACGGCGGGTCTGCACACGATAAAACGCGTGACGGAACAGGAACGTAATTTCGAGCAACGATCGCAGCCGTTCGAAACGCGTCGCGGATACAATTACGGGGAAGAAAAGACACGATTCTCGGGATCGAAGGAATGGAACAAAGCCCGGGGAACAAGCATCGTTGGAGGCGGAATTAATTTTAACGGGAGTTTGCGTTACATCTGTATGCGGAGGTATCGGGAGTTTGAGCGCAGCAAAATTCACCGGGATCCGGAATAAACCGCGAGGAAGCGCGGAACGGTGTAAAGTCTGATCTCGTCCGGGATTAGTTTCATATTAATCCCGCGGCTACGTCCAGATTGCGCGCGGATTAGGTTTGCATCGTATTCGTTCGGCTAATTGCTCGTCGTGTACTTACAAATCACTGTTATGGTGTGCGCTTTGACGACGTTCTCCGTGAGTTTGACGTTCGACGCGTCGCATATCACGACGATGTTGCGGCTGGTGCGATTAATGGTGAACGTCACGTTGGACGTGGTAATCCATCCGCCCTGAGGCGCCGGCTCGGTCCTCGAGGCGTTACTTTCTAAATTGTGACCGTCGACGTTCCATCTTATGTCCGACGGCGGATTCGAGTTCTCAGTCGTGCAAGTCATTACCACTTGCTCGTCGGCTTTCGCCTCCGTGGGCCCGGTGATCGTCGCCCCGGACGGAGCGACTGGAAACAATTGCAGTCTCGTTAATAGAGTTCGCCTCTACCTCTGAGAAAGTCAAACACAATCATTCCCCGGACATTCGTTCGAAGGCATTGTCACAAAATTTACTAACTCTTCCTCTTCGACAATTCCAACGAACGTGCCACGAATAGCAAGTTTTCTACGTAAACAGTTTAATACAGTGCGTATATCAACCCCTTAAAATGTAAGGAGTCGTAAGGATCGTTTGGAAATATATTAAGCCATAATAGTACTTTCTATTCCTAGATAGAGCTATAAAAACGCAGTTCCGCTGGTTTATTGTAATTAATAAATAATTTGTCATCACTACGAATTGGTATAATATACGCAACGAAAATGCATATTAACAATTTTTAGGCGCGAATACTAGGTTAAGAATTACTGGAACAGAGTGTGAAATGTACAAATTCTACCCTATCGTTGCAATTATTGCAAATTGTTTACATATTGCTTCCACGAATGGAACGAAGTTAAGACGATCGATAAATATTCTGATTCCGGTTCGTTAAGCATTCTCTGAGCGCCGGGTAGAGAGAAGTTGAAGAATTCGTATTTTTCTGCTCCATTGGGTGTCTCTTTAAGTCACTTCTTCCCGAAAGCCCTCACAGGCACGTCCTGAAGTGTAGAAACGCTAACCCCCAACGCTTTGCGAGAACCGCCGGGTCATAGACCTGGAGGCTACGACGCCTAAAAGCGCGATCTATTGTCTCCGAGGGAAAACGGGACATAAATTTTCCTTCTAGACGTATAAAAATAAGCTTGTTTAAAGATAGAGCAAGCATACAGAATTTTTCATGACGCGCGATACCTGCTTCAGCGGTGGATAGAGTACGTATGTACAACAGGGTGGACCTTATGTTTGATTATCGAAATTTTTATACACGACCCTCTGGATTTGTTCAAAAATAATTCCTTCTTTCTGGTTTCTGTCAATTGATTGTTTATGGAAATTATTAAAGGGTCGCACGATCAAATTTTTGACCAAGAGTAACCAAGGTCCACCTCAATGTATAAACGGTCGAAGAATCTCATAAATAGGTGCTCTATTTGCAGAACACTGGAGTAAAATAAATTTTAAATGAAATCAGACTGTGAAAATGAAATCGAAGCGAGCCAAGGGAAACAGAACTGTTTCAGATTCCCTGAACTCGATACGATTTTAATTGTGCACGGAGTAATTGTTTAACGATCGCGATTCTTACAGAGCACGGTGAGATCGACGTGAACTTTCATGGGCTCGACGCTCATGATGTTGGACACCTCGCATCTGTATCTGGCGTTGTTGTCCTGGGCTTTCGCGACGATCGACAATACGCTCTCGGAGACGCTGTTTTTGGTGCGATACACCGTCATCACCTGCTCGTTGTTCCTGTACCAGACGATCTGCGCAGGTGGGTTTCCGCCACGCGATCGGCATGTTAGCTCCAGCTGCTGTCCACGCTTCACCGTCTCGCCTTCCGTATATCCCTCGATGTACGGCGTGCCAGGTAGATCTGAAAATTATTCGATCCTGTGAGACACCGAAACACCGAGACCTCCATACTTCCGCTAATGGGAAAAGTTTCGTAATAAAAGTACGCCCGGCGGGGGAAAGGAGCGGAGGAACACGATACGGAAGATTAATACGTGACTGACAGATTGGCGTACGGCTACTAATTAATGCGACTCGATGAGCGTGGGATCGGAATTAACTAGGCAAAAATAATTTACAACAGCGAACAGCGGTGCTTTGCGATCGATAAAAGTTAAATTGATGATTCCTAGAAGCGTACGAGGCCTCGAAAATATCGAGAATCTCAAATATATCGGAAAACTCGAAAATTCAAAGAGTTTAAATAAACTATCAGTTATAAGGCGAAGATCAACTATAAATGTTAAATGATGATACTGATTTTTAAGAATCTCCGTATTCTCGATTAACAAAATACTTTCGAGGTCTCGTTTCGATATTTTCAAGACCTTGCATAACCCTAATGATGATTCATGCGGTTTAATGTTTCTTTTAACGTTCAGACATCGGTAATATAGGACACTTAAATTTGGTAAAACTATTTAGTCGAGTAAAGTCGAGTCTATGACTGTTATTTTTCGGTTCGATTCGAATTGCTGGCACTCCGACACTTCGAATTGAGATTCCTTTTGAAACAATATAATATATAGAAGCGTTATACTTACAAAACACAGAGAGTTTGATGGTGTCTCTCAAAGGCAAGCCGAGAGGTATAGCGGGATGATTGGCTTCGCAGGTGTAGTCTATGTCATTGTCATCCGCGGTGGGGACGATGGTAATGGAACCGTGGGTGTCGTATTTGAGCAATTCTTTCTTATTTTCGCCAGGCTTCTGCAGCTTTTTGTCTGAAACACCAGATTAAAATTGTACGATGATTTTGAAAAGCGTTTGCAAATTGGTTAGAATTATACGTGCAATAGAGAACCGATAGGAAATAGCTATTATATGTGTCGATGTCAAGCAATAAAATGTTCATCGACTGTGCTCTTTCTTTGACAATGCTTCGGCCAATAAAGGGTAACTATATTTTAAAGAAGTTCGACGGCTGTTACATCAACGTGTTTCGCTGATATTTATTTAGGTTGCACTCTCGATCGTTCGCGAATAAAGTGTCGGCAGGACCGTTACTGTTAAGTTGTTAAATCATCGTCAAACTAGATCGGACAGGCTTTTACCCAAAGTAGCGATGCCTCTTTATTTCATTTCAGACGTCGCGAGTTCAGCAACGATGTCAGTTACCGGCGCCATTAACCGGAAATACGAACACGATTGCAACGTGCAAAAAAAGCATAAACATTTTTTATTTTTTATTTTTCAAACGATAACCGTACGAGAGAAGGTTCTTGTAATTTAATCCGTGATTTTATCCGAATAAAAATGTTGAGCAACGAATATCGATTTTATTATTAGGATTTTGAATTACACACCGCGATAAATGAATATTGAAAAAAATAGTAAACTTCGCGGATAGATCGTTGCACGGTGGTTTTATTCGTAATGTACTATTTTGTATAAAATTTTCCGCGTTTCTGGTCGAATTCGCGCGATCGGTTTGCATCGTTTCCATTTACGACGATACCGTTGCGTGTCTAATTCCGTTTCGTGAACGGTCGCGCCGTAAGTTTCACCGTATTTTCTTTTAATTTCGTTCCTTTCGCCTCTCTCTGGTCCCCATTTGCTTTACCAACAATTCCACGTTTAATCCTCATAATTTATTTCGCATCAACGGGTCCTTCTAACCGCTTTACTGCTGAAACACTGTTCGTAATCTGGCATTTAATTAATACGGTGAGAATTTTAATTGCGCAAGTTCGACACGGCATGACGGAAATTCTCGCATTTTGTGCACGCACGAAACATGATTCCTCTTAGAAATTCAAATTTCACAATTTTATGTCTCTTCCAATGATTCAAGAATATTGGAAAATTATATGAATTCAAACGTTTGGTGACTGACTCTGAGATAACGCTGTTATCAATATCTATTGGTACTAAATTATGTGTTAGAATTTGTCTGTCAAAAATACTGTTATTCGTATTTTATTAAGTTGAGACGAACTAAGTTTAGCTTCTTATTATTTGGTACAGCGTTATTAATAGTGAGGGATTGGAAACATGGAGATTTAAACATTTTTATGAAAATATTGCACAACAAGTACCTAACATTTCTTGGCGAGTATTTATTTCCTTTCTAGCGTTCTTTGAAGATTCCGAAGTAGGATTCCGAAGTCTTAGGAAATGAAATCAATCGAACAGCCGCCAATAAACGAAAGAGAAGAATTTTTTCGCTCTTCCCGCGTCTTTCGTTTCTAGTCCAATCAAGAACGGAATGATCAATACTTTGGAAACATCCAGCAGAAATTATATTTACGTCGTGTATTTCGAAATGTTCATTAATTATTCTAACAAGTACTTGACAGTTTGAAGTTCACTGTCCGATATTAATTAATTTTAATAGTTTGGTTAATTGATACGTGTCTTCAACGTCGCAAACACACGATATTATCGTCTACCGGTTTCAATATTTAATTAAAGGATTATTATTACGAGCGTTTCTGCTAGGATTTCTGCTCATAGGATCGACTTATATGTATATAAAATTGCTTGAAATACATTTTAACGTAATTTCAAAGTCAGCGAACGAAAAATATTTTTGACTGGGGATCGATGAACGAAACTAAACATAGACAATTAAAATTGTTCCGTTAATGGTGAACAAACAGACGAAACGCGGAGACAACGCGGACGTAATCAACGAATATAGCTCGTATTGACTTAGAAAACGATCAGCCGTGGAATTTAGTGAGCCGGAACGTGTGCGAACGACAGGGGAAGTTGCGTGTGCACAGTTAGAAGTAGACTAACTCGTGAAACTTAGTTGTAAACTAGTCGTAAACCACCGAAATTTTGCCTCGGAAGTGCGAAATCCGATTGGCGGATGGCTGGTACGCGCGAACGTGCCGTTCGAATCTGTCTTTCGTTTCGACGAGCGCAAGAAGTTCCTGCGTTTCGAGCCAGAGACAGGATGAAACATATTTCGATCAGTTTTTAAACAATCCTGTCGCATTGACGAATTACGTATTCCAAGTTCGCCAAAATTACCATACGGCAATGTGGCTTCCAAACTGTACGACACACTTCAAGTCTTTCCAGTGAAATTTAAGAAAACGCTTACAATTCATTTGTTTATCTGGTTACGAAGAAAGTTACTTAGTTTCTACCGATGTGTAAAATATATTTACTAATTCCTATTAACAAAAATATGAACGTTCAACTGCCTTCGATAGATTTACAAACGCAAAGACGAAAGGAAATCCGTATTTGAATTATTCTATATATGGGAATAATGTTTCTACTGTTCGATAAATGTATTCGCGGGGACAATATTAAATTAATTTCACCCGCGTTGGATTTTCGAGAGATTTGGAAATGTTTGTCCGACGAATTTCAATTCCGTTCTTTCGATCGAGCCGAAGCACGCGAAACAAATACATGCATCGGAATTTTCTATTTTTCGTTCGTATTTGCACGATCGCAGTTGACTTTTAATTTTTCAAGAAATTTTTTTGTTACCGTTCTCCCGGTCCCGATAGGAATTTCGCCGTCGGCCAGACATTCCGGGTCTGGCCAATTTTCTTCACGCGAAAATTATTTTCCATTTCGCCGGGATGAAATAATTTCCCCCGTTACACGTATAATAACGTTTCACCCGTCTCTCTGCGTTTAATTCCTCTTGTTAATAAATCAGCACGTCGGTCTCCCGGTAATAATGCGGCGAAATTCAAAAATCTTGTTATCTCGCAATTATTTTGCCCAGCGAATATTCGTCGCTTTCGTCGCAACTCTACTTTCCTTACGGTATCGCGAATTCCCCGTTCCAGATTTTGATTACGTATAACAAAATTATAATCACTCGATTTAAATACATTTCTATAATTTTTACGAAAACATGGTCAACTGGAACACACGTTCACGCGAACTTTTGTTATCGTTTTCACGCGTAGAATTCATCTCTTTTTTAATAAAACGTATGGAAAACACGTGACTTCTCTTCTCGGTCTTTCTACGATTAAAATTTGCGCATTCGTTGTACGCTCTTATTAAGCGATTACCATGGAAGAGAATTTCTTTGACGAAAGAGACACTTTGTTGCAAGACGTTTCAAGATGGCCCGGAATGCTTGAAAAATTCGTCTGCTAGCATGCAAATACGGCACCGCGAATATCTTGAAAACCTCTGTGCGCTGGGAAACGTACGAAGGAAATCGTAAAAGTTTTCGAATAGGCAAGGAGCTCCGACCGTTCTACAAAAGCAACCATTCCGTTGAAAGATGTAACAAGTGGGGTAGGGGGACGATGACATGAATCCGCGGGCCCGCAGGACACGTTCGTATCCTTTGATAAATCCGGCAAAGCAAGTGGTCACTTTGACGAAAAACGTCCAAGGAAGTCGGAAAGAAGTTTAAACGCTGCTTCAAAGCTGAGCCCAATCGCGACTTTAATTTCGTTCAGACTTTTGCTTTGTTTCGGTCATCATCATATTTACTACACGATACAGAATTCACGAATACAACTTTCATTTTGGACACAGTGGACGAAATTTCCATGAAAACATACTACTTTATTTTATCATTTGATTTCTCTCGTATCTCGCAGAAATCTTTTTAATAACACTTTTACAATTAATTTCAGGCAATAGTGTTTTGATCAGAGGCGTAGGTGGCTAGAAAAAACTCATCGCTCGATCTATAGAATTCCACGCGTCGCTTCAAATGATCCTGTAAAAGGCATCGAGCCGTTTCTTTCCTCTCCAGAACGTCAAATCATTTTTCCGCGTGCGTTAATACTTAAACGCGGCCCTATTCTCCTCTGCAGTGTTTTTTGAAAGCACACTAGAGAATAACTTAATAGAGTGTCTTAGTTGCTCCATTATATCCTTTCCAACAATGCACTTCCCTCTGTGTTCGCCCCATTTTCCCTTCTTTTCGTGCTTCTCCAACATAGTTAACGTTTCATGATCTCCAGGGTCGTAACTATGGTTTGCAGTACTTGTTCCAGCAGCTTGAAACTTTTATCTATAGTCGTACAGGCCGCACAAAGATTTTCCCTCCGTAATTCAAGCGGGTTCGCTCCGTTGGAAATACTTTCGTCGCGCATCGTATTAATTGCGACCGTTCCTTCAGCTTTCTTTCTTGTTACGTTACTCACCCCATATCGCGAAAAAGAACGTGCATTTTTCCGTGTATAGTGCTCAACGATGAGGAAGCAGCGAGAATATTAAAAAAAAAAACAAATATTCGTATATTTATTGCACCCTTAAAAACGAGGGATAAAAAAATAAAATTCTTTAATTTAAGAAATTATTTCTTGGTCGTTTGTATGTTCGTAAATTAATTAATAGTCAAACTTAACAGGAAGCAGCTGATCAACAAATTATTCTGAATAACCCAATAAATCAGTATATGGGATAAAGCAAATTCGTTGAGAGACGAAAGTTGACAAATACTAAACGTGAAACTGCCGTTTAATTGGATCTTTGTAAAGCTTTCTTTGCTTCGAGGTTCAAGTCTGAAGTTATTTTAGTTTTCAGTTTGAAGCAGCTAGTCAAGAAATCTCAAACGCATAAATAAGAGAAACGAAAACGTTGGCGGAGAAATTAATTCTTTTGCCTTTTGTTCAGTGTTCGTGGCGTGCGCGAGTACAAGCGAGAGTGGCTACATTTCCTTTTATATTTTCGTTTCCGCGAATGTCTGAAACCTACGCATGCATTTTTCCCTGCCGATAAGGTTGCTGGAATACCATGTAAAAAATCTTTGGTACGCGCAACGAACAATACGAATTTATTCAGCGAGCGAATTTAAAGATATAATCAACGAACTAGCAAAGCAAGGAGAAAATTGTTTAACAATTTTATTAATCTACTTATTCGTAGAATAGAAGCTTTGTGTCTCTTTAGAGATTCTAGATCTAATAAATTCTGAGCATAAATACTTTAATTAATTTCTAAAGCAATCTTTACTAAAACCCCTGGCAGAAAGTTTCCGATCATACTCATTAATACTAATTTTACGAAAAACTGTCGTGTTTTATGATTATAAACTGTTGTTTTGTAGTTAATTACTTCCCATAAAACTCCCTTTCGTTTTCCATTATAATCATAAAACACGGCGACGAAATTTGGATAGCCAATTTAAATGCGTTTATAGTTTCCTTAAAACAAAATGTCTAACAGCGTAGAAACTTCAGGATCGATCTAAAAATCCCTGGTAAAGCTCCCTTCGCCTCACCGCTGGCATTATTAACCATTCGATCCGAACTTGTGCTCGTAAAACAAAATCACTTCCGTCTAACTTTTACGAGCCATCGAATTTGCATTCACATTATCAGAAGCGTCGATGATCCTTCAATAACGCTGATCGATAATTGCCACGGATCGCGTAATAACCGCTTCCCTTTCAATATTTATTTCCCCCGGCCCGGCAGCTGATACTTTTATGCGGTTCGGTGTCTGAAGTGTCCAGGAACGAAGGGATAAACAGATCTTTCGGGTTGATTAAATCGCGACCCGTCGTGTTCTGTGGGATTTAAATAAAGATAACGATCGGGTCGCGTCACGACCCTAAACCAGTCCGTTTCATATTCATTAATTATTATATACAATCGTGGGGGGACGAAGAAGAGGAAACGAAAGGATAACGGCGCGGTCTTTACCCGGTCGGACAATTACGGAATCTTTTTCTATCGCGTCCCCGCCTATTACTTCTACTTCCGTGGCACTCGTCTTTTATAACATTTTCCCCTCTTTCGCGATGTTCGTCTTTGTTTTGGGTGCTTGGCGTTTCGGACGGATCGATAGCGCCCGGGCTGGACCGATTTTACATCCGAGGATTGCTTCTTCGTCTCCTCCTCGTCGAGGGAAAACTGAAACGCCGGGGCGTTCCTTTCTCTTCCCTTTCTTTCGGTTCGTTCTTTTCGCTTTCGAGTTGTTGCTCGTCGTCGTCGTACCGTCCCGTAGCACAGGACCGGTGGACTTTAATTGTCAGCAAAAATGAATTAAGGGGAATTAGGTACGGGGAAAGGTCCGCTCGAATCGACGCGCGAAATCCACTTTAAGGGTTGCTTTTGTGTCTGATCGATTGACCGATGTTCGCCCGGGATTAACGTCGAAGAATTTCTAATTCGATCGAGGCACCAAGAAAATAGGGTAGAACGTGTTTCTAGAGCGATAAAAGTACTGGAATAGAAACGTTTATTTTGTGTAAAACTCGTGATATCAATAAAATAAAACTGACTAAAAAAGGAACGTTAATTTTTAAATTCGTCAAGGTTTTAGTTAAGAATTTATTAAACTATTTTTAAGCCGTTTGAATTTGAACGATTTTTTAGAGTAAAATCATTCTTCGTGTAAAAGAATTATTTAATACTTTTTTTTTTGTAAAAGTACTCATTCTGTTTGCGATTTCATTCGTAGAAAAAGATAGTTTCATCTGCTTTTTTTTATGACGTAAGACGTCAACTGCCGGTCCGTTTCCACGGCGATAATGTAATTTAATTTGCGATCCACTATCAAGCAAACAAAGATTAATCATAGCTCGAGGAGATTGTACGAGGGCGGGGACTTAATTTCGGCAAGAAAACTCATTCGTCTCGTTCCTGTTTCTACCGTCAGTCCGTGTCAATTATTTTTACTCGATCTATCTTGTCGAGTCTCGAGTTCTGCACGGATTTGTTATTTCGTTGGGATTCTTGCAATGTTTTCGTTCAAAGATTAAAAGTTAAAAAATTATAGATCTGTTTTTCGTATCTACACTACGCTTCTCTTGAGACGAATGATTCTCGTGTAACACGAGCTTCCGTAAAAATGGCGAAATATAAATTTCGCTTTTGGAACTTTGCGTAGACGTCAAGCCGGGTCTCACGTAAATATAATATTCGAAAAAAATTGTTCAGCCATCGTGACGGATAGCTTTATCGCATTAAATGAAATTTCGTAGGAAATCCGGAAATGCATGGATGGTAGAGCAATTAAAAAAGAATGCAACTCACTGTTTTTCACGATTTAATTCGTTCTAGTCTAAATTTACTTGATAATACGTTTTTAAAAATATTCTATTCTGTTTTAATTACCTTGCGTTAGGACTTTAAATTTAGTCTTACGTTAATTTTCCGATGTTTTTTCAATGTTACGTTTGATATAAGAGTTTCTTTATGCGTTTTTAAGCATACCGTAAACAGCAATCCTGAATGATGTCTCGAATACATCTTCTCATGCAAATAAGTTTTCAGGATAAAGCTCGATATAAATTGTCCCCTTTAAGAACCCCGATGCTTGGTGTCTCTTATCTCGAAGATAAGAAGTTCGAATCGCGTAATAATTCTTCGTCAATTTTAAGGAGAGAAACGCGGGGAGATGAATTTACTCACCACCCTCGATGGAAATCGGCGTAATGATCGTGTCACCCCCTTTGATTTGCACATTTGCGCGGTACCAGACGATCGAGGCAGCTGGTTTCGCCGATCGAACGATGCATTCCAACCGCCTCGTTTCCCCAACCTTCACCTCGATCTTCTCCTCGTTCGGATAGTTGCTAATTTCAACCTTCTGCGGTCGTGCTGCAACAAAAAAAGAATTTTTATGTACGTTATTCCAAGATTAATTAACGATAACATCGAAAATTATTTGTTAAGTATATTATAGTAACGCTTAAAAAATTAGTTGTTATTTAAGACAGGGCTCTGTGCAAAATTTCAATCTTTCAATACGTTTTGTTCACGAATGACAAAACGCTAAAAATTGTATGTACATTTGCAGTGTTTCAAATTAGATAACATCAATAGTTTATTAGATATTTTTTTATTTGAAGATTAGTAACGTGTAAAATTACGACGATGAAAGGTAAAGGTAAATTTCAAGCAACGTAGGCTTATATTAACCAGCAAGAAAGATGGAAGTGCGTTCAAGAAAGATTCTTATTTATAGAGACGATTACAAGCCTAAATGTGTACCATGCGTTTGAACCCTTTAAACTGAGCTACAAAGGCAATTGTCTAGAAAGTTTTCCACGTCGCTGCATTACTTATAAGCAGAGCTTAAATAAGGATCATGTAATACCACAACATATTACGTTTATCTTGCAAATGCTTCCAATAATCGATACTTTCACGTTATTGAACAAGTGCATAGAAACTTTTTGCTATCACATTGCATTATTAATAGCTGTTCCAGATATTCATGGGAATAGTACGCTAAATATAGGCTACTTTAGTTTTCTTACTCTAGTTTAGTTAACAAAATTAGTAGCAGTCTGTTTCACATTTCGATATCATTTCTTAAGGTTTTATAAATTAAGTTGTTGAATTTTACAAATATCTAACTGATCGAACTTTCAAATCTTTTCTTTAGCAGAGGAAAACACCAAGGACAAAACTAGGCGAGATACGAGACGCAGCCGGAATGCTTTTATTAAAACCTGACCTCAAATATACAATGCAAATTACAGTGCAACTTTAAGCGTTCAAAATGGTCCAACGGATTCACAGTGGAGAGAAAAAAGGTAAATGAAAAATAAAACTTTCATCTTCGTTAACCATATATAAAAAATCGATGTTTCAATTTTTCGCAAAAAAGTTCAAAATTCGTATCTCGACTTCTTAAATCTCGTTCAGATTCCTTCATCAGTTCGCGCGGTATATCGTTCCACGAATATTTTCAGCCTCGATACTCTTTTTGCTTTTTTTCTGCTTGCGAACAGCGAAACTCCTCGATAAAGCCCAACGACCGACAAAACACGGGAGGCCAAGTTGGCACGGGGAGTTCTCAAAATTCGCGGAACGTTAGCCACGACGGAGTTTCGACGTAGAAACGATCTTTGCAGAAAAAAGGAAAAGAAAACCTAAACACAAATGCATTGACCAGGAAACTCCGTGGTAACGGTTATTTGCCACTTCATTTGGCCCGATGCAACGTGCTCTCGAACGGTTCGGCCGCATGGCGCATCGTTGGAGAAGAGTCTTTCCATCTAGGAAGCCGGCCATCGATATTGGAAAATACGTTTTCGACCAACAGCCACTGCCGGAGCCATACACAGCGCTAGGAGTAGCTCTTGATTTGCGAGTTACTCTCCATGGAATTCTTCATACGCGCACCGCTCCGCAACGGATTAAGGGGAGGGGATAGGGAATTAACCCTGGACCGCGATATAACAGGGGCGAATTTTCGCCTGTCGGTTCATCTGTTGCAATTCGACGGGAATCGTAACTTTGTAAACTCCATTCAATCCCGTTGACTTTATTTTTTCGAATCTTGGTCTTAATCGTTTAATTTTATTACGCTTAAAGTAATGAAACTCGAGATTCTCAGTAAGAGTCGGTGCTTATTATTTTATATTCAAATATAATATTATTTGACAGTTTGTGGTTCGTTGGAACAAACGAGAGACTTGACACGTTCACTGTCTGTGACCCGTATATGGGTCATATCACCACGCTGTTGGATACGCCGCTGAGGAACCGGACAGTGAACGTGTTAACATGGTCGCGCGGGAACAGTCTAATGGTTGTAAGATCGTTCTCGAAATGGATAATCAATGGCTTCGAAACGTCGTTCGAGTCAGACAAGAATTTTGATAATAGCTTTTAATAATTTCAATGCGTCAAATTATCAAATAACAAATATGGCGGCTACGAGATTGAAAGTTGTCGAACCCTATCTTTCCCTTTCTTCGTTTTATATTTAGGATTCGTCCGCCATTGCATTATGTTTAACATTCATTTTTTGATTATAGCACGAATGTCTGTCGAGCAGCGAACGAGCTGTTTGGAAATTTGTCGACAACAAACCAAACAAGAGGCACGTACGAACCTTGTTGGCATAGCTCTAAAGTTAGTTTTGTTCAGACGACTATGCATTCGAGCGGAGTGGATTTGATCATCGAGCTCTGTATATACGTACGCATTAACGAATAATTAGAAGTAACGATAAAAGCACTATCAATACGCGTATAAATAACTTAATCGTTCTCTTGGAACTATTCTTTTTCGCGTAACATGAAGAAACTGGAATCTATTTTCTCGGTTATTTTTCGATTCGTCGTGTTTCATCGTACCCGCCCGTTTAGTAGGGAGATTTTCCATATCTTTCAGTAGAATTTTACAATTTTCTCGTACGCAATTTTCTAGCGCGGTTTATCCTTTGTTATTCTACGAAAATTACAATTTTCTGAGCTTGACGTTTTCTCCGCCGCGAGATGTACATTATTCCGTCTCTACAAACGCACTTGCATACACACAGGGTGGCTTAATTCGAACCGTTTCTAAATTTCATTTTTCACCTCGTACTTACGCGGATAATAAACATCGACGGATACAACAACGAACAACAAACGAATCATTTTTTCTACCGACTCGTAATTTCATTTACGGTTTTATTAACTTACCTCGCGTGGCAAACAATTCTATTCTCTGTCGTTTCTTGTCACGGTTCGTTCGAGCACGAAACAGCCAGTCACTGTGACCGTTTTAGCGGAAAATTCGCGAAGGAGTCTAATTCGGGAAAGCGGGGAGGGAAATGCAGTCGCTGGAGGAGAAACGAGAAGCAGGGGGTTGGGAATCGCGGGGAAATTACGCAAGAAGAAAGACGCTGCCGTTTAAGTGGCGAGAGCACGGGGACACAAGTAACGGTAAACACGGTTTAGTAATGCTGTTATCGCGGTGGACAGCAAAGGAAAATATGGCACCTATTATTCGTCGAATACCTTTACCTTCCCTCGCGTAATTCTCCGCGCGAGAATGCCACGCTAGTTTCTTTCCTCCGGGCGGAATGGAAGCCAGAACATCCGTCCACGTTCGTTTTTATCTGGCGAAATTGTCGGTTTTCTCGAGCGTGCAGATTAGGGGAACCGAGGGGAAAAAGCAAACGGGAGAATCTTTATTTTGCCCGGTGGTTTCCTCACAGAAGACCGCTACACGCGTTTTCTTTTTTTTTTACGGCGCGAGCGATGTACTTCGTCGACCTAGCTGTTATCGATACCCCCCTACTGGTAGTCGAGGAATTAGAACTGGTAATGCCATAAATTTTCGCGAGTGGGTCGGCCAACAGCCGAAGAACCGTAACGTTGTTAGGGGAAACAGGAAGTCGCGGACGTTTCTTTCGGTATTTACGAAGCGACGAAATATTTGCAGAGAATTATCTACCGACGAGACGATAAAGCGCGATAGAGTACAAATAATATTTGAATCGAAAGGTGAGTTGATACGATATAATTTGAGGAATAAAAATATTGTATTGTAACGAGCATTGTGAAACGGCGATTAATTTTCGTATCAATTAATAACCTATTGGAAATATTTATTTAAACGCAACAAACTGATATTAATAATTCGAATATGGATTCTGATTATAGGCTTCAAACGACGAATTGAAATCGTTATTTATTTAATTATGCTAAGGGAGTGTTTTCGTAGAGAAATATATGCGGATATTGTCAGGCTGTTTAGTAGTTTGCTATAAGTTTTATAAAGGAAATTGATTTTGAACACTTGGGTTACGCGTATTGTGACTTGTCTGATCAATATATGGTCTTTCTACTTGTACTAGTGTTTTTAAATATTACTAGTGATATGGCGCTATTTGTTGATGTAACTATTTTCTGAATCTTTGAAACTAGTTAAAAACAGAAAATACTTTGACGTCGTCGAGGTATAAAGAACGTATGTATCTAAACGCAAGTAGAAATATCGAGCGATGGTCAGACGCGTCCAACGCGTAGGCCTAGCGTTTCTGTTCGATATTTTTATAGACTGCAGTAAACATTATATCGTCGAAAACCTATTTGCATTCGCATGGTAGTTACTTAGAGATATTTCAAAGAATTCCGAATAGCTATTCATTCCATGAAGTGCCTCGAGAGCAGCCAAATTGTTACTATTACGCGAGTTAGTTTTGATTATATTACAAAGTTCGGCCGTCTGATTTGATTGTCACCCAGATGGCTGCCATTTGTTTCAAACTTACCAAACAAATGTGCTTTCCGTTTCCGACGAGTCTAATCGATCGTAACACGTCGTTTGTGTTTAGAGTACGATTACAGGATATTTAATTAACAAAAATCACGAGTAATCTGTGATCTAATTACAATTTGCCACGGTGAAACGACATTTAATCGCGCCGCAATTACACGATAATTAGACGGTTTTTACACGCTATTAAATTTGACGGTAATTAACCCCTTACCATACAATAACGTATCTAACTCGTTTCAAGTTCTTGATGTCACGTTTCACAATCATCAGGCTACTTCTGGTCATCAAGTCTTATACAGCGTGTATGACCACCCCTGGGAAAAATTTTAACGAGAGATTCTAGAGGTAAAAATAAGACGAAAATCAAGAATATCAATTTGCTGATTGAGGCTTCGTTAAAAAGTTACTAATAAAATTTTTCCACCTATTCGAATTTTTTTCTCGAAAGTGCGTAGGAATTCGGAGGTATGTCTATTTGCCAAAACTGTTTGTAATTGACCCCCGCAGCTAAAAACAATTTTTCCAGAACGATTTGAAATTTTTTGAAAAATTTCAGATTTTTTCACAATTTTTTCCTCGAAGGTGGATAGGAA